TCGGTAATGGCAACATCAGGCGGCCTTAATGCCCCTAGCCGAAGGAATGATGGCCGTTGAATGAGCGTCATAAACCTCCCGAGGACAGCCTCCAGGATGTGATCTATCTTACAGACACTCACCGTCACCTCGCTCTCGATGTGGCCCACCTATCACGGCAGACCAAGACCTGTGCTGAATTTCCTGTCCGACATCATATTCGTGACCGATGCTGCTCCTTTTCAATGGTGTGGGCGTGACATGTGTATTAGTTTTGACCTGCAGGCCGAAATTATCCCCTTCGTCATCCATGGCCATAAAAGGACCGGTTTAATGGCTATATGTGCTGGATAATATAGCCAGAACCAAATCTGTATCCCTGCTCCATCAAGTACTCGTTACCACGCCTGCGATGACCGCATAGTACGTAGCGTTTCGTACTACCAAGTACAATAATCCGACTTGTGGAGGTGAAGGAATATGTAGGTACGGGCCCGTACGCATCACAAGAGCACAGGCAGAACCAAAAGCTGTCGTCCTACATTGACTCGAACTGCTCCACGAACCAGCGATGCAGACCATCGAACAGATTACTAACCTTGTTGACTGCTGCATACCCGTCTTGTCGAGTCGTCCATCCGTCTCCGCCACATCTATTGACAGAAGGACTGAGGGGTGATCGGCCGAGTCCTTGCCCTTCTAAAATCGGCCGGGAACAAGGCGGGGGTTGACCATTCACAGCTGTAAGATCACACGGCAGATAGACTTAGGAAAATTATTCAGGGGCAAGTCATGTACCGATGGTCAGCTTCGACTAGGCCTCAGGATCTTGAATCATGGAGGCGTTGAGAATGGAAACGACCTTGAAACCGAAGGAGCAAAACCTCGTTGTAGTCAAGCAGTCAAGTTTGAATAGAGAAACAAGGTCAAACGGCCTCGTATCGGCTCCAGAAGCTGTTGTGGGGCTTAAGTGCCACTCTCTCAACCCTAAGACTGAAAGCCGGCTGGCTTGCTTTGGCGTTGTCAGATGAGTTCTTGACTTTGAGTGTTGCAAACCGTAGTTGCCGAACGGGGAGCTCCCTGCTTCTGACAGGGCCTGCCCGCGTTTGCTCCGGAGATGGCTTCGCGCAACTTGTGAATTGCCTGCTGACGGGCGCAAGTGATGGAGCCAGGGGGGCCTGCGCGTTATTGTGGGCACTTACAGGCGTATGCTGTGGACCTTGACCAAGTCAAGAAGGACAATTGAGCCCTATCCTGAGCTGTAGCGCAAGAACAGGAACAGGTCGACAGGAGACCCCAGCTTTCGCGGTACAGGGAAGCTGGCGAGTCGGGTCTAGGCTCGTTCAAGAAGCACGCTCCGGCCGGGAGACTCCTTTCGAACGAAGATCCCCGTCCCCGCCAGGACAAAAGAAACTCGATTCAGTAACGCTTGCTCTGACCATTTCCATTTGCAGGTAGTTTGAGGTGTTGTCCAATTGCTGAATCAGCTATGCACGGTGATAATCTGACGGCAATTCGTGCAGATATCCATTCATCGCGATCAGCCAAGCATGCATCATGCGCTGATATCTAACCATCTGCCCTCCTTGGACGAGTATCTTTCCTCTTCTGTGTTCATAACCTGTTACTTGCGCCGCACCTATCAAAGAGTCTCAGATACTTGATTGTAGTTGCGGGCAACCTCTCGGAGTCTCAAAGGCTCAACAGTTTCTGGCAGGGATAGCCTATCGCTCGTCAACTGTCTCTGGCCTTGCACGACAGAGCGGGACCTGGCCCGGGTCCGTGACAAGTAACGGCGAAGCTTCAGGGCGCTAGCAAGTGGCGGGCCAATGTCGAGCTGCATATGTACGAGCAACGCGCTAAAGATGTGGGCGAGATGGCATAAGGAGAGTCAAGAGGACGGGGAGCCTGGCAATGAGAGCCACTTTTGCTTGCTCGCTAGTGTGAGTTTACTCCTCCGCCCCTGGTCAAATACAAGAACCTGACCGCAGGCTAATCGATAATGACAGCCGTAAACCGTTGTCTCCTGCAAGTCTGCCCCTCGTAGGACAGCACGGCATAGCTCAATGGCGATCGACGCGATGGTTCAGACGCGCGCGTTGAGGGTTGGACTGTTCAGGTCAGGGCTCCAGCGAACGTAGATAGCAGCTCGCTGGGCTAATTTACTCGTACCATCATGACCTCTTATCGCTGGCCTTGTCTCGATTTCCTGAGTGGAAACGGCTTCAAGCAATTCTCAATTCCCTGTTAAGCGCGGGACTTTGCTTTGCGGACCGAAACCTGGGACGTGGTCTGTTAACAAACCCGCAGGAGCTTCTTCAAAGCATCGAGCCGGGTTAGCCACTTGGATTAGTGGCTTCTTCACTCAATCAACTTTCGCTTGCACCGTCTAGTAGGTGGCCCTCGGCCATGCGTCCAAGCCAAGGCCATCCACACTTCACCTGCTAATATCGGCCGTAGTTCCGAGATTCAGAGCCTGGTTGCATATCTTTAATAAATAATGAGCCACTTCAGGCGCATTATCAGACAAGCCTGGCAGACCGACTGTTGACCAGGGATCACCTATTTGCTGTACCGATGACTCGATGAGAGCTCAGCAGACAGACAATTGTCAGCATACGCATCCGCGTGAGGGTCGTCTGCGGTCCTGATGCGGCGTGTAAGAGTGCCGATCGACGCTCCGTCCGTAAAGATTATCGTGTCTTGGAAGCGCAGCCTTCCCGCGCAGCTGCATCTCAGGTCTGCTAGCCACATCTTCCAGCGGTGCTCATCGTAGCAAACGGATGATCATCCAATAGACCACCGAAGATTCATCCCGTTCCGTCTCTACTAAGCCGCTCCATCCCTCCTGAGCATGGCAGCCAATATTGCCTCACACCATTGCACGCGAGTGGTGGAGAGCACTTGAGTAGAGGCCGCAGAAGGCCCTTCCCATCTAAGGAGCTAGAATCTCCATGGAGGGGTTCCCTGGGCCGCCCATCTGCACCCTTGAAATTACTTGCAGTATGATGGGGGCGGGCGGCAAGATTCCTGTCTTCTAAGTAAAGAAACAAATGAATATCGTTCCGTCCCTTCCATTTTTACCAGACTTGCGGTGATGCAGCCCTATCTCCAATCATATCATCCCAGGATTCGTTGTCCATGACACTGGGAATTGGGTCAAGTGCGACTGCAATCTAAATGCAACAACCGCCTCTATCCTCGACACAGTCAGGATTCTGAAAGAAGACCGTTGAAGCTCGACAAGCATGATAGAAAATTTCTAGAATCCGGGGTCTCCGTAATATCGCCCGTCTCTGTCGAGATTGCATCGCAATGCTTCCTGTTCACCAAGGAACCTCTGCCTGTCAGGTCACGATGCCCCGCAAGACCCGGGTAGGCATGGCTTGGCCCAAAATCAGGTTGTTGACGGAGACAATCAAGCTCCGGGCCGCCACAAAGCAAGGCCGACCCTCGAGGATCGTGCCCGGAAGCAAGTCTCGTCTCCTCAGTCTCCGTCTCAACCCTTTTGGGGTTTTGTCCTCTCACCTAGACGGATAGCTACATTCAAGGGATATCGTCGAAGCGGTGGCCATCTTCCCCATAATCCAATGACCAAGCTGGGGGCCAGGTGCAGGGTGCATAACACTCCCCTGTTATGCTTGGTGATTTTAGCCTGGAAGGGCCGATTTCAACGCCTTGATTTTGCCGGCGAATCTGCGTGCTGAATTGGAGGGCCTGTAAAACAAGGTGCGGCTGCGCTGATCGTGGCGCACTCCACACTTCCGGCTGGCAACATGGCAACAATTGTGCAACCACCTCTTATGTTTCTGTCAGCAGATGATGGCACACCGATCCCATTTTTGGCTTTTTGTTTTTAAGCATAGTCTCTTCATCCAGAGATGCGTGCAATAAAGAGGTGTTGATAGATACTGTTTTTCTGATCTCTAAACCAGTCGGAGATTATGGAGATTGGAGCCCCTGATCATGCTCATGGTCAAGCAGTAAAACCGCCAAGGTACCGAGCTTCCTTCCGTCCACATCCCGGAGCGTTCTGAAGTTGTCCTGACTCCTGAGCTCTCAGGTGGCTCTTGGTGGAGAACACCAGTGAGCTCTAGTCGATCTTTAGTCAGTCTGGCCTCCAGGGTGGTTTCTCCACAAGGGGCCCATCGCCGCCATCATTGATCCCAGCAGGAGCGAACTATTTACAAAGTACAATGAGAGCAAGGCAATGTCGGACGTAAAATCACCCCGCAGAGAGACCCTGAGCTCGGTGAGAGGATGCCGAAGACGTTGGCATGTGGAGAAGGACAACACGTCGAACTTGGTAGCGTTTTGATGAGACCCCCAAGAACTCCACTCTGATATCTAGGTCGTCATGAAAGCCGTATCAACCCCGTGAACAAAGTGCTCTCTGACCTCATGTCCGCAGGGCACAACCTTGCCTCTGAAGAGACTTGAGGCTTGCGCCTTGATGCGACTTGTGGATTCCCTCCGAGATCAGATACCACCTGGTGTCTGACTGATTGTACTCGAGTAGACATCGGAGAATAAGACCTTGCCAAACTTTCGTCAATGTAACACAACAAAGATAACCTCCAACTTGCTGGTCCATGTGCCGTAGATTACCTCCATCTAGGCTATGGTGGCCTTCCAATCGCGGTCGTTCACTGCTTGCGCTTTCTGATGGTTCTGGCGTGGCGACAACATTGGCAAGATTACACTTGCCCAATTCATGTAGTTACTTCTACCTATTCAGTAATCTCGTCGGCTGGCTGCGACAAGAGAGAAGCGCCGCAACGAGGCAAAAGTCCGGAATAGGTTGATCTCTCAGGGAAAGCAACTCGTAGACCCGATTGAGATGCGACCAAATTCGTTCGCTCCGCAGTCTTCTGCCGACGGAGTATGGATCCTAATGCTACCTCTGTCTATCGTGCAGACCACTACTGCGTGCAGTCAACTACTTGTTCCAATGGTCATGATCGAGAACTGGTGCATTTTACGTAGCCCACGAGGATGCGCTCCAAAGGAACACCGGCTCATCAGTCTCGTATGCGGAAGACGATCTCTTCCATCTCTTCATCGCTGTCTGATTCGATGAGATCCTCGCCGTCGACTAGGGCTAGCTGCACGAAATGCCTGACCCATGCTTCCTGCGCTGCGTCCAGCTCGACTCCATCTTGCCTATTGTTCTGCACATTGTTGGCGTTCCTATTCCTGGGGGCATTGGCTGCTGGCAAGCCTCTCACTGCTACGTTGTTGCGCCCGTGATTTGCCTGTCGGTTTTGATTTTGCCGAGGGGCCATTCCCCCTGGACCGACGGGACCAGCAAATCCTCTTCCACGGCCTCGGCGGCCTCGTTGAGCCTGCTGCTGATGTTGACGGACTCCAGGGTTATTCTGAGGATTGCGCGCAGCCACTGCTGGAGGGTTTGGGACTGCTGGTGGAATAACACGAATGGGCGGAGGATTGGCTGCGATCCGTAGGACCAGCGGCCCTTCACGAGCGACGTCTACCCGACCGTCATGTTCATCCTCGACTCGCGGCTCGATATCCCTATCCTCCTCGTCGCCATCGGGCTCCTCGATCTCAGGGATTACATTAGCGATCTGAATCTGTTCAACATGCTCCTCGACAGGGGCACCACGATCTGCAGCACGACCAATAAAGCCTCCAGCGAAATCATAGCCGACGTCGGCGCCGTCTCCGTCTTCCAATTCCCATAGTCGCATGTAGCAGCTTGTCCGCTTACCGCCGGGAAGTTCGTTGAAATGCTGATAGGGGTTCTCGGGATCAAGCCAGGCTGAGCACAGGTAGCAGAAGTGGGTGTTACAGCGATAACAGATCATATGGTTGCAACCGTGAGTCTTCTGAGCTGGACAGTCGCAAGTCGGACAAGGTGTCGTGTGCAACTTGACGTATTCGAGAGACGCTTTCTCCTCAGCGCTGAGCTCCTCCTTGTCCCTTCGCGGCGTACATCGGAAGAATTCGCCATGCCACGACTGGTAACAACGGCTACAAAAAGCGAAACCACAATCCTCACACACCGCGAGCAGATCTTGAGTCTGAAACGGTTTCGGTGTTTTCGTCTTGCTGGGCACCTTGTTGTCGCTGATTTCTGCCTCGCCGCCAGAGTCTGACTCTGAACCCGACTCATCATCTTGTAGTTCGAGCCCCTTTGGTTTCTTGTGTTTCTTCGATCTTGCAGCGCCTTGACACCATGCCCGCGGACAGTAAACTGTATTCTTATCGGTCTCGAGCTCTGTCTTGTACTTCAAAGTCACATAGCGTTTCACTATGTCATGCTCAAGAGGAATCTGCAAGAGTTCGCTGGGACTAATAAAGGTCCTGGGCTTGCGCCTTTTCTTCCCTGTGGAGATTTGGGTATTTTCTCTCTCCTTTGCGCAGCTAGGTTCGAGACACCTGACGGCAGCTAGGTCGCCTTCAGTGATAGCATTATTGTAAAAGTCTTGCAGGCAATGAGTGCAAAAGACATGGCCACAGTCCAACATGCGATGACACCCTGCCCCTTTCTTTGGTTCTGCAAGAATTAGAGGAGTTTTGACGTACGGAAGACGGGATGAATATACCTAAACATACGCCACAATCAAACGTCCCTTTTTCAAATGCATCTCGCTTCGCTTGAATATCATAATCAAGAATGGCAATTTTGTGCTGTGGATCTATCTCCAGAGATCCCTTCTCATTGACCAGACCGAAGACGTCCTCCACTGATTGTTGGACATGGTCGATGTATGTGAAAACAACAAGATCCCGGCCGAGCTCCTCCCACAAGCGTGAGCAAGTAGCTTCCAACTCCTTCCCAGTGTCTGGGGGCAGCCATGGAGGCGAGGTTGAAACGGACACACTTGGTGGCTGCTTAGCTGGGTAGCTTGGGGGCAATGTTATCTCAAGGCAAACCGCCGGTAGATGAGATAGTTCTTGGGAATCAATGTTTTCAGCGGCTTGTCTATCGGCAACACCATTTGGTGCATGAGCTGCTACCGGGTTCAAGCCAGCTCCTTCTGTCGCCGCTGGGAAGAAGACCGTAACGGACTTGGCCGGGTTCACGGGAATCTCTAGAACGATGGTGTACGGTTCATTCTCGAGTTTCTGCCGGATCTCTGGAAATATAGCAAGGAGCGAGGACAGTTCAACGTCCCTTTGGTCTTCAGACTCCTCCATTTGCGACCCAGAGATCTCGTAAATCTATTACTCCAGGTGGCGGATATGCTACCAGCAAGCAAAGACGCGCCGATCAACGTGGCAGGCGATGTTGGACTGGGGTTCCATGGGACGATAAGAATAAATAAGATCGTGGATGAAGGAGAGAAAATTGGAGGTATTACAAGCCCGCAAGAGGGTCTAGGTGGTTTATTCAAAAGTCTTCATGAACATAACATATTTGTCAGAATAGTGGAAGCATGCCGGCTGCTGGAGAGTCCGCCAGATGGAATCGGAATCTGCAAGTTTGACGTCGAAGTGTCGATGACCGACGACCTACGCCACAATACCGCGGGGCAACTTTTTCTGACTCCTTTGCCGCGCTACGAGGGGCTAGACGGGTCGCTCCTGCCAGTCCCTCAGGTACCCAACTAGCTAGGTAGCTTCTCAGAATACCTAAATTTACAGATTGTCTTGATGCATTTACCACTCACTTTGTATATAGCTGCAAAACCATTGATCAGCCAAAAATACGCATTATTGAACCTACCTAATACCAGGGTAGTTCAAGTACCTAGGTAGGAGAGGGTGGTTCTAGGTGTTGATCATGGGTAACACTCCATCTGAGAGTGGTCTGTAGGAACTAACCTACTGGTCAGTCTGCCACCTACGATGGTAAACAGATTAGCGCCTATGACCTGTAGATCTACCTGCCACAGCCGCTATCCAATCACCCACGTCAACCCAAACGTCTACCCCACACCCGCAGTTCGGGCCGCTCGAAGCTGATAGCAGCGCCCGGTATCGATATTGAGCTTCACCTGGGCAGTCTGCGTACCTGAGCCGAAGAACGCAGCCAAGCTAGCCGATCACCAGCAGAAGACCGCGCTGCCTCAGCGCATAGTTCCACCGGCCTCACACGACACGCTATCGCTTTGAAGAACCATCACGCTACAAAGACTGGTGGAAAGAGGAGGGATATGAGGCCTGTCGAGGTCATCTAGATGCCAAGCTCTGTCCCGTCGACGCGTCCTCCACGATGAACTCCTTGTGGAACTCCAGAGCTTCCAACGATGCAACCACAGCTCCCAAACCACCTGTTGCGGATGTTGCCGATACAGGCATAGCTGATGTGCCCTCTGATCAGTCGAGCCGGCCCGGCCCCGATCTCCCAGCCCGGCCGCTCCTACAACGGAATATTCAGTCCCAAGCTCCTCCAACCGTCCCTCCACCGCCGAATCAACCTCCTCCGATTCCGGTCAACTTCGCCGGAGGCCAGCAGCCCCCCGACTCATTGTCCCTGGCCCAGCTCAGGCGCATTGTAGCCGACTTCCCGAGATCCGAGGCTGTAGCGTATGATTTCGCCTATGAAGACTTTGGGCCAGTCGAGGAAGAGATTGACGAGTGGTTCGTCTATCAATTTTGGCAATGGGTGCGGTTGAATGCAACACAACGTGCTTTTGATTTTCAGTGGGAACGCGACTTCGGCAACAAGACGTGGGATGAGACGGGTCCAGATGCTCAGAAAAACTTCGTCAACCAGGCGTTGAACGCGATATCATCTTCAGACAACAAGGATCATGCCGCTGCCGTGTCTAGGATAACATACATTGTCCTAGGAAGATGGGGGAACACTGCAGGTGGCTCAGGGGGTGTCGTACCGAAGGATAAGAAGGCTAGATCAACGGCGACTCGCCCACAATTAGATGCCATAAAAGATGGCGTTCAGCTTGTCGCAGATCTTGGAGGCATTGAGATTATTTGGGCGGCTCTGAGGGAGGCATTTGAGCCCTTCTGGTACTTTTACTCCATATACCGCTGGAAAAGCGTTCTGACAAGACTCCAGGGCCGAGGAAGACCAGCTCCTGCAGCCGGCATATTTGCAAGAAGCACAAGATGAGCTTTTGAATCTGATGACAGTCATGTATATCACAATGCAGGAAGCTCTCAGCCATCCAGTTGAGCTTTCGTCAGTTCATATGAAGCTCTGTAAGTTGCTCCCTTTCTAAAATTACCTCGACTAATAGCCTTCTAGGCCAGCTCAATCCGAGTCTACTTGATTTCTTGGTTGATGCAACAGCTAAATTGCGATGGGAAGAGGGAGGTCTTATCCCACAAGCACAAGTATTTCTACTATTTTGGAAGTCTATTCTGGTCATCTTTGGTGGCTTGAAAGAGCTAGATGAAGCAAAGAAGGCGACTAGAGAAAGCTCGACGGACGAGAAGAATAAGGACACAATTACTGCATCTCCTTTGGATTACCACGTCTTCCGCCAGGAGATCACCTCGAAATACCCAGCATATATCCCGCCACAGCCAGCCATACCACTTGAGGCGGAAAATACATCTCTCCTGCCTCCTCTCCCAAATCATCCCACAAGGAATAACGGCGCAAATGGCATTTTACCTGGCCCTCCGAATAATCAGGCGGGGGGTGCTTCAATTCTTCACCAACCCGTACATATTGCTACTCCCGCTCCATCGCCGCCGCCATCTCCCGGGGTAGGTGGGAAAGGAGGCAAGAAGCAGAATTATCAAACCAACCAGAACTTTCCTTTTATGTATCCGCCTCTAGATGCCACTAGCAACAGCCTCGGTGGTAAGGGCAACACTGCATTACAAGATGCACTAGTTGCTCGTAGATGGGAAGGCAGCGATGTCCCCGCTTCCATCCTCGAGGCCGGAGAAATTTTCTCAAAACGTGTACGGACAACTCGGGCGGCACGGCAGCTCTGGGAAGAACGCGAAAAGTTTCTCAAATTTGAGCGTGGCTGGGATGCTGCCGATAGTGATATTCTCGACGAACTTGACTTGTCGTCTCTGACACTTGAAGAGCAGGAGGAATTGGGTATTACCAAACCTAAGCACGATGGGTCTTCGGAGGCTGCTGATTACGGTCCCAACCCGGATATCAATGAACAAGTTAAAAGACGCCTAGAAGCTGTGGAGGAATTCTACGTGAGGACATTGGTTTCGATCCAAACCCCTGCATTTGCTAAACCTAGCCTAGGGGAACTCTCTACCGCAGTTACAGTCCTTGGTGATCACGCTCTTAAAGGCCATTCTAGCACATTGGCAGGTTCTTATGAGTCAGCCTGCAGTGCAACAGCAACAAGGAATCCCAGGCCAGAACAATCAACGGCCAAATGGGGCACCAATGCGGAACCAAGAAGGTACTAATGGCTTGACTGGCCCTTTGAGCGCAGATACTACAGAACAGTCAGCCGAAGAAGTGGATGCTGCAAGAACCCGCGAGATTACAGCAAAGGCAGTGACTGGAATCATGTTGCTGTTGTTGAAGTGGTTGAAGCTGTCTCGTGAGTGATGCCCATGCTAGCTATTGGAATTTTGACTGACCACATCTTAGATGTGCTAAAGTTCGAGTATCTTACGCAGCTTCTGCTGGACTGTAATTACCTCCCGCTAGTCTTGAAGCTCTTTGCGCATCAAGATGTCCAGCAAGTGGTCGAGAGCAAAGCCGACCGCCTCGAGAACAGGTATGGGAAATCAGCCTCAAATGGAGCTGGATACTAATGATCTTGAAGTTTTTTCAGTTTCTGTCACATCAGGGCGGGAGGCTCTGACAGGACGGCCGAGGGGGAAATCGACGAACCTGAGGTGCCTGAAGAACCGGAGGAGGAAGAAGAGAGCGAAGATGACGCTGCCCCGCCGCCCATAAAACGGCGACGCTCTCCCCTGGGACCAGCTGACCGAGATGGGAACCCAGAACCGTCTGCAAAACCTGAGGGACAGCAGTCTGTTCGGCCGGAGGTGGACGAGCTCGGCTACCCTGTCAATCCGTTACCCAAGGAGCCCATCACAGATTTCTCGCGCCGGAACTTCTTCACCCTTATTAACTACTTGAGAATAATGCAGAAGATCTGCAAGAACAAGGCGCACCGAAATTTGTTGCTCGTGCATTACAAGTCTTCGCAGTTGCTGCGCAAGAACCTCAAGGTGCCACAAGAGGAGTTACGTCTGTACACACTCAAACTTTTCAAGAACCAGGTGCCTTACTGCGGCCGCAAGTGGCGCCAGTCAAATATGCGAGTCATCACCGCCGTGTACCTCCACTGTCGTCCGGAGCTGCGCGATGAGTGGCTCGCGGGGAGCGACGTGGACGCCGAGGTCGAGGAAGCGCTGCCTCTGGAGCAGGCTTTGCGGAGTTTGACACATTGGTTCAATGTTCGGCGGTACCCGGACAAGATGGCTAGTGAAGTCCGTGATGCACTGAAGGAGGAACAGGACTTCTTCGTGCGCGAGCTCGACAAGGTGGATTTCAGCTGGGGGGAAGTTGGTGAGAACGAGAGCGTGACAAGTGAGTGGGAATATGATGCGCATTGGGGCTGAAGATACCCTGTTTGATTGATACTATGTTTGCTAACGAGCTGTGCGGATCAAGGCGCTTACTAAAACGTGCCAAGGTGGTATGACTTGTCGAGAAGACAATATGCTCCGAATACCAATGTCAAGATAGACTTGTAGGCACAACATGCCGCCCAATGAATGCATGAACATCCTTCACGATTGCGCGATATCAAATAACATAGTCACATCAGGATCAGATATGGGAGTTGTGATAATAGGTGTGATGATAGGTGTGGCATTAGCTATTAAGATCTTGCTCTAATGGTAATGTTGAGCAATAGTATCATACAAAATGATTCTACAGTCGAGCGAGCGGTTAGAGCTCAAGTCTCTGGTTTATTTCCATTTCGGGTATACTTTCAACTGCTTCCCAAACCGCTCTTTCCGGTCGCAATTCCGTATGCACAACCGTAGCGGTTATCAAAAGACGCTCTCCAGAAACATCTTATGCGTTGTTGTACACACCATCCTCATACCGGTATCCATGCGGATGAGTCCCCGCGGCCGGGTGTGTCCCGACAGGAGGCTGCGTGACACCGCCAGTATGACCGTATCCAGCCTCGCCGTACTTGTTATACGTGTTTGTCGGGGTCACACCGTCGCCGACACGGGTTGTCTCGGTAGCATAGCTGTCTCTAACATCGGCCGGGGTAGAGTGCTGGGGAAGAGTGTTGGGGTCCTGGCTCATGCCGGTGCCTGCACGGTTGCGGCGCCAGCCAAAGATGCCTCGACGCTTGCTGCCGTAGCCGGAGGTGTAGTCGTTGGCCGGGCTGGGGCCGAAGCGCTTCTCCTTGCGGTGATGACGGAGCAAGGCGAGCTCGAGAGCAGCAGAGAAGACAAAGAAGAAGCTATTGTATGCTGTTAGTTATATTGTGCCAACTGAAAAGCGTAGAAGGGTATACTAACACAGCTACAATAGCGACCGCAAAGCAAGCAGTCTCCATCTTGCATGCAGAGCGGAAGCTGGGCAAATGTGTAACACCGCCATTTCCATTGTCAACAACATCTGTGTTGGCGTCACCCTTGCCAAAAACAGTGTTCACAGTCCCGGTACAGCTGCTTGCTCCACCTCGTGTAGCTACCGCGATGTAGATGAAGCCGACAATAAAGGCGAGATCCAAGATGATGGCTATGATGGAGAAAAAAGCACGGCCAGCCAAGCAGCACAGCAGCAAAATTCCAAGAGCTGTGTAGACCACAGCTACGCCAGATATTCCCTCGACAGCGCGGACCCAAGTGTGAATGGTGAGGTCGTGGTTGGCCAGTGTCGCCAAGAAGTATGAGAAGATGGCGAGGATCAGGGCCGCGCAGCAGAACTGGATGCCGCGGACGAACCACTGGAATAATTTGAGGGCAAAGCCCGATTTTGCGCCCATGGTGCAAAGGATAGCGTCAGTGTTGATAAGGTCTTAAGTCGGAGTTTTAGACTCTGTGAGGGTACTCGCAATATACCCCGAAATGTATGTCGGTAGTTGAAGGATGCACGAAGGGTTCAGTGAGATCCGGGGAGGGAGGGGGGTTAATATGAGCGAAGGATTAAGACATGGAAATCGAAGATTCTTGGTGGTGGGGGACAGAACGAGAGGTTACGCTTAAGGAGAATCGAGTGAGGTAAGTGGAAACGGTGGGTTCAGACAAGAAACTTGCATCATCACATGTGGGCATCATGATCGGTGATCAGCGTCACTGCCAGGAGCAGAGACACTCTAGTGCACCAAGAACAGTGGATTTTTACTAGGATTTTCAGACTTTCTGTTCCGTTTCTGCCCTGTCTCATTCCAGCAATAGGGCACAGAGACCGTTTCCGTCTATCCGCACTAACAGGCCGATGTTCAGCTGCGAAGTCCAACTTGGCGGCCTCGGAAAGCCATGTCATTGAGAGTTTGGATCTAAGCACCTTCTTACAGCTGTGCAACTAAGTCGACAGTGGCTCAGTGGCTCGAGTGGCTCTTGGATGACGATTGCCCCCGCCACTAGCACCCCTCCAGGTCTCCATTTTGGGTGCGGCAGGACCCTGATCGTTCCTTCCCGCTTGCGTCATTGATGCAGGGACCTCCGCCCTATTGGCCAGCATGCGCCACACCTATGTCTAAGCCACATCCATGTTGTGGCGCCACAGCAGTCGGTTCTTGACGCCGAGGTATGGAGATATTGAGGTAGCAAGGGCTTCTCTCTCTTGCGCCATACAATTACCGAAATCAAAGGGCTTCTATATGCTGTGAAATTCTAGCAATGGAAGTTGTCAGCGTTACATTTTGTTTTGTCTTTGACCTTGTGATATTTCGAAGGTTTAGGGGCCGGCTTCAGCTCTACCAGCGGAATAGCGGAAACCTTAAAGAAGTTGCATACATGTAGCTATGTTTTTCAATGTCTCAACATAAATCTAACCAGACAATTGAGATCGTTGTGTATGGTACCCACGTTTTGTCTGCATCAGGATTGAAGACAGCGAATAAGCTCGGCCAGATACCTGACGTACCATTCACGCGTCATCTGAGTTCGGATGCCTCTTCGCAAAGATACTGGCCACAGTGAACATGATCTTGAGCTTCAGCGACTTCTTTTTAATTTAGCATAGAATAGGTGATAGCAGATGGTCTGAATCATGTGTAGACAATAACTCCAATAACTTCGCTCCTGCAACAAATCAAGTATCTTAAGAATAGTGATGGAGATCACAAGCGACAGACTTGCTTCACCATTTGTCCTCATGTATCGTCCTCTTACCGGCCGCTATATCGCCGGCCTTATTAGTTCCAAGGGTTCGGCCCTTAGCATACCATATCATGAGGCTGTAGATTTTCCAATTACCCATCTGACCTATTCCCCTATTCTTACCAATGGACGCCCCAAACATCACCTTGTTGCTGGGGTTATACTCTGGAACGGCCTTGCCTGTGAGATACGCCTGTAGTCCTTTGACAATGTGACTCAATTGGTTGTCAGTGCTTACAGCCATCTGCGGCTCCAGATTCCCAGCGTCCCCTATCACAAAGATATTGTCATAACCCTCCGCCCTTAGGAAGGTAGTTTGCTTGACTTGACGTCGCTTGTCGAGCATATGGTCGGGAACATATTCCGTATTGGCAGTGACTCCGAATGCAGGTAGGTAAACATCGGTCACTATGGTTTGTATAGTGCCGTCGGGCAGTGTCACATCCACCAGCTTCTGCCCCTTGTGATCAGAGACGGCATTGACCCTAGCATCGATATAACGCGCTCCGAGCCCCTCAAGCTCCGACACGGCACCCTCTCGGATGTCCTTGCGGACATTGTCGCCAAAGGGAAGACCATTATTGATAACAGTGATCTGCTTGAGACCCGTCTTTGCGTACTCCTCGGCCAGCTCGCCAGCCGTCTCAAGACCAGTAGTGCCGGCGCCTGCAACGACGATCGACCTGGCAGCCTTGATCTTTGCCTGCCACTCATGTAATTTTGATTTTGTCTCCCCTGTGGTGGATAGGTTCTTGAATGGGATGCCTTCTCTGGCACTCGAGCCGGTCGCAATAACGAGAGTATGGTATGGGATGGTTCGTGTCTTTCCGTCGTTCGTCTTGACTGTCACGGAGTTCTGGTTTGGATCCATCGATGCGGCCTTTCCAAGCACGAATTCGAATTGGTGGGAAGGGTATTTCGAAAAGAGAGGTTCGATAGGGAAGAACATCTTGTCGTCAGAGAACATGCCTGGTAGTATGCCCCTTACCGAAGCCAAGTTCCAGTAGAAGTCTGAGTTTGGTGCCACAAGGATAACCTTCAGATCTTCAACTAACGGTGCTGTGTGTTTAAGGAGATGATGCGCTACTGGGACACCCCCTAATGAGGCTCCCAAAACGACGACCGTCTTGACCATATTGTAATTTGCGTGAAGTTCAACGGGAGGAGTAGAAAGGTTCGCAATGCTGCACCGCTCGCGGGTTAAACAAGGCTATGTATGTATCAAAAGGTTACTGATAATAATAAGAGGCATCTAGTAGATCCTTGAGGGCATTCGAAGAGAAAAATATCTCCTTTTATCGTAGGGCTACACTGACAATGTGGAGAACTCGCCATCACGGCTTTGATAATAGCCCTACGAATGGCACTATGTGGCCTAATCCGAACATTACGAATCACACATTCTACAAGCCGCCGATGCACAATGAATATTGCACTTGCGGATGGATTTGTCTCCGATATTAGTCTGAAAAGTGCCCGAGCAGGAGGCTTATAGAGTCGCAAGGCAGTCTCAACTGTGCCGCGAACGGAACATAGTCTGTAGCTTTCGACGCGCGCGAGATCAAAGCACTGCGAAGACAATATTCTATGGGTCACTTCATTAGCGGAGACAGTAGCCGGAGTTTAGTTTGATACCTTAGCCTTGTCAGTGAAAACGAAGTGTCAAACGAACCTCAAAGGGGTAACACTACATAGTATACAGCCATATCGAAGAGCGAGGAAGGGCGAGCCGAGGGCTGGAGAAAAATGGCAATGCGAGACGAGGCTATCTACCAATCATAGTAGGTCGTTTCCGCTAGCCTTCCCGGCCAATTCACACAGAAACGTACCGCCGGAGCGCCCAGTCTTTATAGCGCCGGTACTGTCCTCGTCAATCGATTAGATTCTTACGTTTTAGCCCATCTGAGCTGTCGGAGACTTTTGGATATCAAGCGGAGGAATTGTCTTTATCATTTGCTGGTGTTCCATATGTACACTTGTTTTAGCTTGGTTAACATTTGCCCCATAACCTGGTCCATATCCATTAACAAAAAAGGGGTATTCGCTCTTATTCTTCTCAAATCTGGGAACTAAATTGCCAAGAAAAGCGCCGCGAACGAAAGCAAAAAGACAGCAGCCCCAGATGTTGGCCCGGCAAGCACGCTGGCTGAGTTTGCAAAGGTTGCTGTGGGCGTTGGACCACTCGACGTGCCCTGGGCTGAACCACCACCCGTAGAATTTGCGAACGTCCCACCAGTGCCATTGGTTGAGGCAGCTGGCCCCGGATTCGTCACATTGAAGGAGTTGCCAGCGACTACACTGTCCATCAAGCCAGCCGTCATGAGCACGTTCATCGCCTCAAATCCTCGTCGGTTCTGGGCTGCAGTGGTCAAAGCATTCATCGCTGTAGTTGATGCCTCTGATGTATCTACCAGAATCTGTGTATAACGATGGCTGAGAGGTATCCTCGCTGGAGGCGACGGGCCAAAATACTCTGCGGCTGCAGTGATGTTCTGAGCGTTTTGTAGCACAAAGGCTTGCATTTGGCCCATAGTCGTATTCAACACTGTTGCAGTGGTTGCTGGAACAAGGCCTGTTTGCATCCAGTGGAGAAGCGTGCTCGTCTCTGGCGGACTATCTTTTGGGATATCTAGGTCTATCATAAGAATAGCATATGATGTTCCTGAAAGTTTCTGAGTTGTTGCAACAGTCGGAGCTGTTTGAGTCGCTGCCCACTGATATTAGCTCCTATTTCTTCCACCTCGTACAATTTCTTCACCTTCTTTAGCAACAACGGCCCCATTCATCGCCGCCACGTTCTTGAAATCCACGATCAAATCTGTGGTGGCGGCAGGCTCGAACCCAGCAGGGGTCTTGGCCAACACAAAAGCAGCCGCCGCCAGGACGGTAAAGGTTGTGGACAACATTTTTGCAGCAAATAAAGAATACACAGAGAAACGAAGATACGACGACAGCCAGCTATCTCAAAAATGGAATGAGCCTCGAATGATTAAAGATCGACTGGCTGCAGGGAAGGGAATCTCGACCTTTTTCTTCTACCCAATTAGGAGTCTTGGCGCTCCCCATCAAGCAGAAACTGATGACGAAGATATGAAACGGCATGCCCACGGATTGTAACAGCCGCAGACGGCTGGGCATAAAGCAAGCCTCCGATCATACTACCGAGGCGTCCCTTGCCCAAGCAATTGGTCGGAAATACAGAGTAATTTAGGTAAGAATGTCAATCATTCTTGCTCGTTTCGGAGACGTTGTGCAGCAACCCTGTTCGAGTGCCGCTCGGGACCCGGAACGGCTGAGATCCCACTGAGGTGCGCAGTTGGAATAGGACAAAACCTTCTTTCTTTCTGGAACGCTTGAACCATAGCTTTTAGGCAAATCTGGGCATCTCATGTCTGTCACTCGACTCGTCGTCATCATGGCCTAGGAATGAAGTGCCGTTCATGTAGAATGTAAGCATGATCTCACGGCAGCGAAGGCGAGCAAGTGGTAGCCATCTTGGGTTCCCCGAATGATCAAGTCCATAGTATGCGAGATGTTCTTTCATCAATTAAATAGTCATCAAAGATGAGCGTCTGTGAGCAATTTGGAGGCTGCAACACTGATTTGATCAGTGCAAATTGCAGGATTGTTGCGCCTACATGTTGTGATAAGAGGCTTGAAGACCACGATCTGAAGGGTGTTGAACGACCCGATACCAGTCTTGAACGCGATCAATTAAACAAACATAAATTGCCTTGGTGAGGATGCTGGTGCAAGACGTTGAAGACAATCTGGAAGAATTTCCGTCAGACAACTTCTAGGTGGGATTGACAGTCTTCAGATTTGGTAACGGGAGATGGTGACCAGGCCCGTGCACATTGATAAGATAAGAAACTTTTGGAATTGGCTTCCAAAGTCTTGGTGATCTCTTCGTGAATGATCCCCATGTCGACCCGGTGAGCATTGTCCTATCGAGCCGGGGCTGCCGCGTTCGGAAATTCAATGACGGTCTCAATATAGCCTCAGTAGATTGTGGTCAACTTCACGCCCCAAACACGACTAAGAATGGCTGCCTCAGAGCCGTCTGCGCAGCAGACCACTGCGCCAGAACAACCACCGCATGATCCAAATGACCTGAAGTACCGTGGCACGCCACAATGGCTGCACAACAGCGCCATCGCCGTCGCAATCCTTGGCCCAATTGCGATGCTCATGCCTCCGCGGCGTGCAGACCTCCGTTCCGTGGTCCTGTCCGGCGGCACGTTCTGGGCCACGAACCAGCTGGCCTTCGACTACACTGGCCAATCGATCCGGCAGCGCTTCCAGTCGCGCATGGCGGTGATCACTGACGGCGGTCTCCCCGAGCAAGCGAGGCGGAATCAGGAGCTCATCCGCCAGGAACGCTTGCGTAGGGAGGCGGCATTGCCTGAAGAGCAGCGAAAAGCGAAGGAGATGGAAAGACGAAGGAAAGAGCAAGGTGTTTTGGATCGCCTTTGGATGGGCGGCGAGAGCGAGAACTGGAAAGAGGAGAGGGCGAAGAAAGAAAAAGAGGCTCTGGATGATGGCAGAGGGTACCAGGGTCTGATTATGGACCAAATATGGGAGGTTTGGACGGGCAAGAAGGCGGAAACGGATGACGACGAAGCAAAGACTGAGACTGTGGGGGCGCACGACCAGGCGAAGAAACCAAAAGAATGATAGTCCACACAGTAATCACTTCTGCATACTCGCAAACCCCCGGCTTGGGTTTGCATGGGCGGCGTTTGGGATATGTTGTATTTCTACATTTGTTGTACAAACATGGCAATGCCCCTCTTGTGTATAAATAGTGCTTCTGACGACTAGAACTCCGCTCACAACTATTGAGGGTGTGTCGTTGTATAAGATAATTCATGAGGTCCTAGGAAGGCGGTCTGATCTTTCCGTAGACCTGTGGATAGAATAATCCTAGAGAACCATCAACATCTCAGCTGGCGGTGTCGTACCATTTCGCCAAGACCATAATGATTGCTCAATGCTATGTTCTGCGTGGCTGTACATAGCTTCCATGCTTTCGGACTCCCGCGAAGATTGTAGGCGCTTCGTTCTGACTCTTGCCCGCTTACCCGCCTGATATCGCTTTCTCTTCTCGCGTTTCGCGTTGGTACGGTCATATTCACGAAGCCACTCATCCAGGCGTCGACCAACTTCCTCCGCCCGTTCACCCGAGTCCTGGGGTACACCTAGCTCCATTTCGATGATCGGCTTCTGTCGAGCAACAAGTGCGTGACGTCGACGATTCTCACAATTCCAGCCACGAGGGAGACGGTTTCTGTTCGTCCTGAGAATGATATATACGCCATCATCGTCTGTAATGGCAGGATTGAGCGTTTGTCGTATAAGATGTAGTAGGCCGAGCTCGTCATTTTTGGCCGCTTGGGCTCTATTACGACGGACTGCTGTTCTCTTGGCCTTCTTACCAGGCGTTCTTGCCCGTTCTTCATCATGAGTCTCGGCTATCTGACGAGTGGACGAGTCAGGCGCCTGTCCGAGGGAGTCCTGGATCTCAAGCTGCTCGAAGAACTTGTCGATGCTGTAATCATGACGGCCTTGCTGATCGTGGGCCGTCATCTCTCCTTTGCTCGTGTCATTTTCAGGAAGATCCTTTACAATGACGCTGCCGACATCCTGCACGAAATGAGATTATACACAACAAATATCTCAAGATGAATCGTACTGACCTTTGCCTCAAGATGACCAATATGGGTCAGCAGATTCTTGCCGCATTTCTCCGTGTTGTTCATGAAGCCAGCGTCAGAGGGCGTAGGGTAAGATCGGCCCTGTTGTCTTTCATCGCCATCCGCCATTCTCTCCTTGTCGCTTGAAATAGCTTCTCCAATTACTTGGACTGGCTGAGTGACAGATTTGGCTTGGTTGAAAAGATGAGTGATGATTCAAAACATCATGAAAATAAACAAAGCCAGAAAGCTGCGGAATCTATGGCTAGTCATTCCATTCATGGAAACGACATCCGTGGCAATGGGGAAGCTGTAGATGTCATGTGCAGCCCTCTTCAGACACGGCAGGACAATGAACAAGCTGGTGGCCCTTGCACCAAATTTGTCTAATATTCTCCGTGATTTGTCTTGGAACATTTGCCTCTTTCTTGGGGTTTCATTGTTGGCGAGGTCACGAGCCGTTGGATATAAAATCACTTGGGCTCTTCATTACTTGGATTGGCCATTGTATCAACTCCAGTGACTCTGCATCCAGGAGCGGGATGATCACATCCAATACCTCTTGAGCCAGTGCTGGCCGATGTAGCCACCACCTGGAATCTAGCCGATGTAGGAGAACACACCAGAAGGCCATGATAACAAGCGCCGGCTGGCGTTTCTGACCGACCATCTCTAGAAACTCGAACTGGACCGCCGATGTGAACCTCAGCGTACCAACCTTGCGTCGAACTGCGTCACCACCATCTGATATCGCGAAACATGCACGCAATTCCTTAAGCGCAGAGGAGATAGCAGACTGCTCCTCTGGAGGCACTTTCAGCCGGGCTTGGAGGGTGGTGAGATGTATATCTGAGGGGTTCGGCCCTGCCTTTGGCTTCATCTCTAGATACCCCTTAAGCATTCCGCCCAAAGGGCCATCGGTGAGATCGCCCTCATGCTGCAGAAAGATGGCAGCACAACCGCGGCTAGGCAAAACCCAAACAGGCGGGCCTGGCGGGTCAGTGGTGAATAAGAGAGAAGCCGGGTCCCGGGAAGTTGCGAAGTAATACGTGGCGTACAGAGCTGAGGTCGCAAACAACGGAGCCGCGATGTCCGGCGAGTGATTCCCGAGCGCGGTCTTGAACAGACTGATAGACTTTGCTTGATGCTCGGCAGCCAGGCGACGGTAATGCGCTTTATCCGGATTTAGAAGACTGAGATGGACTGCAGCTACTGCTAGGATGGCGCGTAGCAGATACGGATAATCGGTGGCCAGAGCTGGCACGGTGTTCTTCCATGGTGAAGACTCTGCGTTGTCATTGGCAATGATATGGGCCGTCACACTTGTGAAGTGATGGAACAGAGCAAAATCCTCAATGTTAAAGGTGTCATCAAGCTCTTCAGAGGATGGCTGAGGAGAAGGCTTGGGCGCTGTGAGGCTGCATAAGCCTCCCCTTCTCACGCAGTTGGAGCATGGGATCTGCTCATCGCACTAGTCATCATGTTAGTCCTGCTGTCTTGGAGTGGCTGCATTTCGTCGAGTTTCTTGATCGTACCTTGACCTTTCTCTTTTTGCAATCCGCACAGCCGTTTCTTGACTTTGTGTGGGCTTTTCGCGAGAAGGTCATTGTTTCTGGCAAACGGATGTTGATATGTCAGAAGGGATGCGGCGAAGTCAAGATGGAAATCCACCTGGATCCGTCGCCGCAAATTTAGCGTCTCCTATAGGCCTCCGAAGGGAAGCACTGAAAATGGCCTCCCGCCAAAACGATGCCTAGCCACTCCGGAAACACGGGCCTCACCCGCTCATACGGAATCGGGCATCACATGGCATCGGCATCTTCTGAGATTTCTAGGCCATTGATACGATGCCGTCCATCTGCTTCGTGTTTGATCCGATCAGCTCCTTGTCATTTTAAGAAAGCGGACCATCCATGAGACTACAACCATAATCACCAATTATTCATTTCCCGAGACAAGAGGCTACCCTGAGGTGCAATGCGGTCCTAGTTATGACAAGTGGATGATGGCAATTGACCCTGCTAACATTGCATCTGTCATGGTGTTTGATTTAGCTATCAATACATCCATCTATCTGCGTTGCTCAGAAAAGACACGAAGATCCTCGACGCACTGGAAAAAACTCCACAGATGTTGAGCAAGCATCACTGCCTCTGCAAGTCCAGCCAGTCCAGGCTCATTGCTGAAGCGTCGAGTGAATACAATAGGTAAGGGAGAGCCATGTTACCTTCCGTCTAGGGGATGTTCTCTTTGATGTCAGGGAGTACGTATGCCTTCTGAAGGGAACGACTATCAAACTCCACCTGCACTCCACATTGGAGTATGGACCTAGCCCTTTGACTGCCGAAGAGCCTGGTGTTGCGGCTTCAAAAGGCCTAACGAGATGGAATCAGCCTCAGCTGGAGTCAGTCTACCGATAGTCTCGACCTAGCAAAACCTGGTCAAGAGGAGATAGACGAGTGGCATCGATGCATGGGTGCTTCATGGCGACCAGGTCTCATCCCCAGCACGAAGTCTGAAGCATGAATGCGCACCGGGATAAAGCATTGAAGCAGATCTCCAATGAGTGACAGTGTCTCGCCAGGTGACGAACCAGCCAACCACAGGCACGACGGGGGCCGAGGCTCAAGAATCCAGGAGCCTTCAGGAGGATGGGCGCACTCCTAGGTAGAGGTAGGGTACGGTACAGGTCTCTACAGCCTTGCCCTGCTGCGTGCGTAATATCTCGTGGTGGATGCTTCGCCTTTTCTAATTTTTTCGACATTCAGTCTCGTTTGTCCTCCACAGTGGCGCCCCGACTGCGGATGTAATGGTGGTTCTTCTAAGCGGCACTGCTCAGCACCCAGGTATCTACCTAGTCTAGGTAGTGTTGGTCGGTGACAGAGGCCGCCTGAAACTCGTGGCTTGACAAGTATCTGCAGCAGACGCCAGTGAGCGTTGGCTTTTCCAAACTCGGGTAGCCGGGCTGTCCAAGATTAGAAACAGGGGGTACTTCTCGTGTGTGAAGATATCATAGAAGACTATCATTAGTAAGTATGGACGCCTCTCTTTTCTGATAACACAACATCATCCCTGCTGCGAGCACTTGTCCACTGATCGTTTGTCGATCCGTTCCAGCAGCTTGCCAGGCGAATCGTCGACACAGCCCGCCCGCTCTCCACCAACCAGCTCAGCATGGCAACGTCAGCAGCTGGATCGTAGTGGGAGTGGGCATGCTCATGCAATGCAATGCGCTGCTTGCTGGTGTCGTTGGGCTTAGGCTTGGCGTGCAAGTCGGTGGGTGCCAGTGCCAGTGCCACAGTACAATAGAACAAACGGAGCTCCGTAAAAGTAAGATCATGAGCGCTCTCTTCTTTCCCGCCTCTCTTCTCTTCTTTCCCTCGTAATTCGCGGGTGGAATTGCTAGAGTCATTCAATAATTACGGCTTCCGTTTGTCTGAGGTGTCTTCTTCTGCAGCTACTGTACACACACCCCTTCTGAAGAATTCACTAAGTGTTAGCCAGGGCGGACGTGCTTGAATCTGCCGTGTCTGGGGTTAGCAGTACCTGCCTTACCAATCTCGCCTGGCTGGCTAGCCGCATTCTACTTAACGTCAACCAAACCCGACCTCCTTAGGTCTGAGACGCGAAATCAGCAGCAGGCGAAAACAGGGTCCTTGCGTCTTTTGACGTCGAAACAACCACCAACCAAGCCTGGGAATTTCAATCTCCTGAACTCCCTTGTCGCCGCCAGTCCCTCCGCCCTTTCCTCCCATTCCTCCACATCACCATCACCAACATCACCATCGTCGTTGTCGACTGGCAAGCCCCTCGTTCTTGCCATTCGCTTGTTCCTTCTTTCATTTCATACCGCGAACCCCCTTTGTGCTGTGGTAGACCATCCAGGGAGCAACACTTATTGATCGCACGCCTACCTCTCCCTCTCCCTCTCCTTCAGCGTCCACGTCCACCGCAAAGATGGCCTCCCACGACTACTACAATGGGCAGCCCTATCGCAATCCGACACCCCAGTCATCCTACCCAGGTTATAACCCGCAGCCAGCTTCGTACCCAGAGCCGCCCCCGTACAGCTCGCAACAGTATCTCGGCTCCAATCCCCAACGGCAGCAAGGCGCGTCGCCCTCGCCCTTCGAGACCGTCTTCGATGATCATGTTTACCCGGCCAGCACACACCAGACTCCAGCTTCGAGTCAGCAGAATCTTGGCCATCAAGACACAGCCTATCACGGCCTAGGTCGAACGCCCTCGGAGGATACCATGAACAACAGCAACAACGGCATCCCTCTCCAGGATCGGATGCCCAAGGACTCGGCCGCTGATGCTACCGATCATGTCTACGAGGCACCCCCGCGCAAGAAGGCAAAGAAGGCAGCGGTCCGCTTCGGCGAGCTGGGCATGTTCGGTGCCAATAGCAAGAGGATACCCTGGGTCGTTTATCTCTTCTCAATTGTTCAGGTCGGCGTGTTCATTGGGGAGATCGTCAAGAATGGTGAGTGCAAGATATTCCCGCCTATTCCATATTTATCAAAGCTAACATTAAGTTCTAGCTACAACGACGGGATCTCCTATTATGATTCACCCCTCCTTCAATCCTATGATCGGACCATCACCCTATGTCCTGATCAACATGGGATCCAGATTCGTGCCTTGTATGCACAACATTCCCGCTGTGCAGGGCTCTACCATTAAGATTGACTGGCCTTGCCCGAATACCACGACGAATGATGCCGATGCTGCGTCACAGCAATGCACTCTTTCCCAATTGTGCGGTTTTGGAGGCGTTCCCGAGCCCAAGTACGATGGCAATGAGGATCAGAAGCCCGAACCTAACCAGTGGTTCCGCTTTATCGTTCCGATCTTCTTGCACGCGGGACTTATCCATATCGGCTTTAATTTGCTACTGCAACTAACTTTGGGCAAAGAGATGGAGAGAGCTATTGGCTCGATTCGATTCTTCCTCGTCTATATGAGTTCTGGAATCTTTGGTTTTGTGATGGGTGGAAACTACGCAGCAACTGGCATTTCCTCGACTGGAGCATCTGGATCATTGTTTGGCATTATCGCTCTGACCTTGCTTGATCTTCTGTACTCATGGAAAGACCGCCGAAGTCCCGTGAAGGATTTGATGTTCATCTTCCTCGATGTCGCCATCTCTTTCGTTCTCGGTCTTCTCCCCGGATTGGACAACTTCTCCCATATTGGTGGCTTCCTCATGGGCCTGGCACTGGGTATCTCAGTCCTCCACTCGCCGAATTCTCTTCGACGTAGAATCGGGGAAGATGCGTCTTATGCTTCGGTCAATGCCGGATATGTCAACTCAACCTCTCCTAACTTTCTCAGAAACCCGGTCGGATTCTTTAAGGGTCGGAAGCCGCTCTGGTGGGGATGGTGGCTGCTTCGCGCTGGTGCTCTGATTGGAGTTACAATTGTCTTCATCGTACTGCTCAACAACTTCTACAAGTATCACAACACTTGCGGCTGGTGCAAGTATCTTAGTTGCTTGGTAAGTTGCTCATCCTCGTGGCCTTGCCGAGCTTTCTTGCTGACTCTATCATAGCCTGTGAACGGTTGGTGTGACAATAACTTACAGCTCACCAACAAGACTTCAAAGCGGGATTTTATTGAAGGATTTGAGCACATCGCGAGGCTATATGGACCTTAAGCATCGGGTCTTTTGGGGGCTTCTATGGCATCTAGTTCCTAGATTCTGATCATGCATCATGAATGAGAGGGTTGACGGCCGAACCGGTCATATCTTTTGCACAGCGACGGCGTTTATGGGGCATTGCAGAATGTTGTATCACTTTCGGAATACGGCACGGCAAGGAACTTGGAAGGACCACAATACCCGTCGACGTAATGAACAGGACGCATGGTTGGTGGTCAGACCACCTAGGCTGTTGGGGAAATCCTCAGTGCAACCTCCACCTTTTCAGCTGCAGGGCCCCTTGCCAACCCCGCCCGAGTACGGCATTTGTTTGGTAATAGAAAATGAAAAGGGGGGAATAATATGAAATATGAATCTTGGCTTGTTGTTCTCACTTATAATGTGGCTTGTTCCTTTCCGTGTGCCGTTCTCATCGTTTTCCTTGTTCGCCATCTTCCCTTACAACTACGGTTGGATGGGACTTTTTTCCATGCTCTGCGCTGTTACATCTCAACCCCCTTCCAGCCCATTAAGAGAACGGACATTCCGAAGGTCACGCGGCCGCCTTATTGTGACAATGATGCGTTCTTCAACTTGCATCCTTGAAACCCGCCATGATAACCGTAGCCTTAAGTGAGTCTGTCTCGGTGCCCTTTCCCCCGTTGCATAACTCGCGTGTGATCGAAGGACTGTTTTGCATGGCTTATATGAGCTTCCTTGACCGGTATGCGATGAAGCCGAGTTTTAAGAATGGATGTCTGATGCGTCTTTGCTTCATACTGTTTGCACCAAGGTCTCATATCGATTGGAATATTATTCTAATAACTTGAGTGACTTAGGTTTACCGAGAAGATGATCCAGGTGGTCCTATGACATAGTATAGCATTGACAGTGCTAACATTCCCATGTTCTCCTCGACCATAGCTGTTTATATGTTTCTGCTAATTCAAACGCAGCTCAATCTTAAGCCAGGCCAACTCACTCTGCGAGTTCCTTCAACATACTTATGATATCAATGTTAGAAAGTCTCAATTGTCTTTCCCAGGGGTAACTCACTGTCTATATGACTTGATAAGAATTTCACTCCCTTAGCTCTCGCAAGCTGTTTGCTCGTTCTATTTGGCTTCCGAGACATTTCAGTCCAGTCCCTGGCTGAGCGGAAGGCGTCGAGCGTTGGCCCTGCGTATGTGTCTATACATAAGCAGCACTGTGTTCAATGTGGCCAAATCTTGATAATATGCATGAAGACAGTTTACACTTGGCATCTGTATTCCTATACCTTGACCACGTAGATTTTAGACACATGAATATATTTGAACGACATGGTCATATATCATAGTCCAAGTTGTATTCCACAAAGATCGGGTCCAACTTGTGCCTCCAGTCGTGCGGAAGTACTTCGTAAATACCCCGGACCTGGTTCTCGCCCGTCTTGCCCACGAGCCAGACATCGCTGTATGGAATCCATAGCGCAAAGAAGTGCGCCAGCGCGACCAGCGCGCGAGGCCGCCTCTGGGTCAAGAACTCGTGGAACATATCCGGCATCCAGACCGAGAAACCAGCAAAGCGGCGACATATGGCAAACAGCGGCTCCTGTTCACGAATGCCCTTCTGAACGGTGCCGATGTAGCTTAGCACGCGATGGTAGATGATGATCGTGACCTTGTCCTGCATCTCAATACCGCCGTCATCTGCGCTGCCACCGTCGTTGTCCAGCAGCCACAGCAGATGCTCGCGGTTCTCCTGCGTGAACATCTCGTCCGGGTCGAACTTTGGCGGCGAGTTGAGGAACCGCTGGAACCGGTCCGACTGGTTCGAGCCGCCAAGATAGCCCCTGGCGACGGTGAACAGCGCACCGGCGCCCCTGCCCATCCGCAGCCACTCGAGCGGCGGCTCCCACGGCCTGGGGGGCAGCGTCTGCACGAGCGCGAAGCTGTGCGAGAGCATTGTCAGGCTGGACATGCACACCCTGTCTGCGTTCTCCCGGCTCAACGTCGCAACCGACTTGCGTTGCTCGCGGAGCGCCATACCAAGATACTTTTGCTGAAGGACGCGGAGAGTGTCCCGCTCGGCGAAGTCGGCTGACTTGGTCCACAAGTTCAGCGCGCTGTGCGCCAGCATGCTGTACAGCATGCCGTCGTCCTCGAACGCCATGTACGGGATCTCCCTGCCCCAGAGGAAGGCGCCGTTCTCCTGAGTTGCGTTCTGTGTCTCCGGCAGGGACGCCGTAGGTGCAGGCTGCGGCGCGTGCTTCCCCTTGTGTTCATGGAACTGCTGCGCCTGGTTCAGCATGAAGTTGTGCATCAGACGGAGCTCCCACATGCGCCGCTCGCGCGACTCGGGGATCTCGATGATGTCGTCCGACTCCTCGAGCTGGCGCTGGAACTTGAACGTCTGCTGGGCCGCTTCGTCAAAGACGGCCTGCGAGGGCGTATCATGGAAATGCGGCACCGGCGGCGTATGTATCGCCGGGGTGTCTGCCATTGTGACTGGAGTGGGCGGGTTGACGAAAGGGGGAGAGGGCCCGCCACTCATGCTCGGACTTGAAGAGACGATGGATTCATTTGACCCTGGCGTGACGGACTCCATGAAGGCCCCTGTTGGACCTGGAGAATGGCTATGCTGGCTGTGACTCTCCGACCTGGCCGGCCGGAGCTGTCTGCCATGGCCGCCAGAGTGCCCGCTCTTCGCGCCCGTTGCCGGTGAGCCCGAGGGATAGACACACTCAACGAGATGGCGACTGCAACCCCCGCATGAAGGCCGCACCTCATCGCACTAACAACAAGTCCCAATCAGTTGCCGTCGGTGCAGATTTCGGACGAGCCAAGACATCGCGGAGCAATAGAAATCGGACTTGGCAATCGGCAGATCTGCCGTCATCCCAGGTTCCGATCTCCCGGCTCGGAGCTTCCGACAACTTTGCGGGTTTACTCACCTTTACGCGCCTCTGCTTACATCGTAAGCAACCCATGCGAGACTTTGTATGATACAGACGGGGCCCGACCGGCCGCCGCGACTGATCGGACGTGCTGCTATCGGCCATGGCTGCACGTAATCTATGATCGAAATCGCAGTTTCATTCCCGCAGCGACGTGAGAAATTTGGGAATATGCGAACATCTTGGTGCGATCACGCGCCTAAAGTCGCAGGATTTCAGCTTGACCTCCCTGGCGCCGGAGGACATGCTTTTCTGCTGCGCCATCTCCTTGCGTAAGCCCCACTCCTAGGGCGGAACTGTGCGCGGTTGGGCATTCGTTTAGGGGAAAGGAGACGCTGGAGCTGGGGACACGGGGGTGCTAATATTCTTAGGTCCGGACTGCAGCAACCGGTCCGCATGAGTCGGCACACCGCGCGCTGCTTCATATCACGGAATTGATCATTTCATCGCAGAACATAAATGATGAGGGTCAGCTAGTTTTCCAGCGCATTATTATAGTGATGTTTATGAGTTAAAGATCTACACAGATATAATTGACGGTCACGGCAATTTGCAGATTGCCATCAGCTCTATATGTACAACATATGTTCCTCCTCAAATATTTTATATGGTTTATGCTTAGTTATTGCCACTTAACTGCTGTGGCCAGTTCGCTGGGCATGTTCCTGTGCACTGAAGCCCCGACGTAGCCTGGTTCTTGATATTGGAGCAGAGGACCTTGGCTGTGCCGCCATTCTTCGGCTTGATATCGATATTCGAGAAGGTGAGGTTCTGGCACGGCGTCGACGCGCTGCAGTGAATGCCCACGGCCACATTGTACCGGCTAGTGCCCGTGATATTTTCCCATCGAACGTCTGAGATTGGCAGCCTCGAATTGTCACAATTCTGGCCGGTGTAGATGCAAGGGCTGAGATAGATGGGCTGGTTCACGTCTTCGATCTGGAAGTTTCTAAAGGTCACGTTCCGGACACGGCCGGTCCCCGGATACGTCTTGATCCAGGCGGCATTGCTGCTATGAATGCAACGAAAGTCTTCGAATACGACGTTATCGACGAGGTCGGGCTGGCCAGCATTTGAACCCATGCTACCAATCACTGCACAGCCAGACTCGTGGCAGGTGACATTCGATACAAAGACATTGGTGCTGTTGCCCTTTACTGAGATACAGTCCTGGTGTTATCAGACTCTGCCGCGCAATCATCTGATGTTAAGGTGAAGAGGTGAATACTTACATCTCCGCAGGTAACGGTCCAATTTTTCAAAACAATGTCTTTAGAATTCCTTTAAAGTTGGAGTCAGTATATTCTTAAAAAGTAAAGTGCCACAATGTCAAGAAACTACTTACCATGTATCAATTCCATCGGTGTTGACGGCAGACCATTGAGAGTTCGATTGTGTGTACACTATGCATTCAGGGTGAGCAATCGTGAATATGAATATTTTAGTATTCATTAGAGAAAGGGTTCACGTACTGTCTAAATTCGTCATGGTGACATTTTGCGAGTGAGCGACAAAAGTGTGCCAGAACTGGGCTTGCCGCCACGTAATGCCATCAATAAAGACATTGCTCCCATGCCACACCGTTAGCGAGATGGGACGTCCGTTTTGGTTGCTTCCAGACCGATTCTGATCAATCCAAATCTGGCCATTGCCATTGAATAGCGTCTTGCCATGTCCGCGCATGGTGATGTTTGTCCCTCCAAGGAGCCATGCTGTTGAGCGGCCAGCGTAAGTCACTGGAAAACTTCGAGACAGCCAATACTGGATATTGTCACCGCTCCAAATGAAAGTGCCCATGAGAGAGATATCACAGTTGCGCAGATCAGTCGTATTCATGACCTGGCGGATATTGTAGGTCCCTTCCGTGAAGACGATGCTGCCTTCCTTTCCACACTGCTTGAAGGCATCAAGCATCTGCGGTGTATCGTCCACGGTATTCCCCGTCCCGCCTATCGGTGTTACCGTGCATGTTGAGCCGTCCTTCTTAAGATCTGCTGAGGCTAGCCCGCAAAGGAGAAGCAGGCGATGAAGATTCCGTGCAAAATGCATTTTCTCAGCATGTTCCGTTCGTTGTCAGTTTTTGGCGTAGAAATACGCAACAGCGCATATTGGGCCTCGATATAAGTGCGGCGGCAACGACATCGGTCACAATCTTTATGCCGACTACAGCAAAAAGGTAACCACGAGGGCCTTCTGGTAGCAATGAACGACTCTTTCAGAACGCCAAGATCTGTTGCAAAATTGTTTGCAACTCTGTCAAGAACCGCATGACAGCGGATTTCAAGCTGGTTGGAGCCAGTCACATCCAAGTGTTCAGGCTGATGTGCTGCGGAGAACATGGTTAATGTCACACATATTGCAAAACCTGGGGTATCATCATTTATAAGGACCCCAGAACCCGGCACATATGTATTTAAAGTCCCTAGGCGAACTCGGCTCTATATCAGTAACTCAGCTGTCGGGTTCGGGGTAGCGGCACAAGGCTTGAGTAGCTCGATGCGGTGCGCCGAGCCATGAGTAGAGAACTATGGCACGTTCCGGTCCGCATCGGCCCGAACAGTAGACAACATGCTCGTTGCATAGCTGACAAGCCTACGTTGCGACGGCAATGTCCTTTGATGATCTATCGAATTTGCGACGTAGCCGCATGGCTTATGCCGGCAAGCCGTCATTATGAACGCGCAGTCGTGGCTCATTCATCATGATCATATTCGTTAGCCAGCAGGCGCTTTCAATAGCCCTTGTGAGATCGGAAATTGCTCTCAGATAGCGAAACTAGCAATTCAGCTCTTGGATTTTCCCTTCGCTACTTTTGCGGCCTTTTGTTCGTCCACAACATCTTTGATAATGCCGTGGAGATCCTGGTTCCTCCGTGCCAGCAGCAGGACATCATCTGTTGTGACTGTTGTGCGATTGGCGTGGCGGCTAAAGCTCTCCAAGTCCACCGCGACATTCTCTTTAGCTTGTCAGTCTGGGTACTTCTGGCAAGGAGTAGAGTTACGTCTGGGGGCTCACCGATCTGCGTCCAGACCATCTCCGTCAGAGCTCCGATGAACTGAGGAGTTGCATTCCTGTTGCGTCGCATGGACTCCTCGTCCACGATTTTGCCAACTGCAAACCATAAAGCGGCCTTGAGGCGCTGTGTCGCGTCAGAACTATTAACGACGCGTCGCTGATCGAGTAGTTACCTCACGAACGTCCTCTTCTGCACCATCCGCCATTGTGAGACTTGGGTCTGTGAAGAATATCAAAAATTCGAAGATTATTCTGTCAAGAGACTCTGATATTTGATTCTTCACTCTCTCTCAGTAATTGTGTACCGTAGAAGCGCGGCTTAATAAACAATCATATGTGAGTAGCTGCCTCCTTAAATGTGTTGTAAGCGGCGAGAGACGCTGAATGTGGTTAAACTTAGTGGCGGCGGCTCTTGAAGGAGCAGGTGGGTCGCGCGGCATTTAGTGCGTTTAGACCCAGGCTTTCGTCACCGGAGATCCCATTGAAAAGTTTCCGTGCGCGTTTCGTTTCTCGCGCATCACGAAAAAGTCCAACGTCTCTTCACTTCCCGGAGACGCCGGTGCTCGGATCTTAGTGCTATGTTGCCATAAAACCCTCGTTTTCCTTCCTAATTTTCTCTTCTTTATCTTCTACAGCAATATTCTACCCCCGGATTGATTCTGCTCTGACCGTCGTTGGTGCCCCGCCCGAACTCGCCATTCTCTCACATTCGAGACATCTATTCATCGAGGAGACACAATGGCAGACCTACTCAAACTTGCCTCCACGGCTGGGGAGCGCTTCACGCGCAACCTGGGCAATTCATTTGCAGAGATGTCTCTCCAGAAATGGATCCGCGTGGTCATTATCGTCGGCGCATACCTCCTACTGCGACCATACCTCATCAAGCTCGGCGCGAAGCAGCAAATGAAGGCTCACGAGAAGGAGGAGGAAGAGTCAGCCCGGGAGACTGCAGCGAAGATATCGGCGAATGAGCTACGCGGACAGAAGCTCGCGATACCCGAGGACAGCGAGAGCGAGGGTGAGGCCGAGGCGACGTCGGCGGACTGGGGCAAGAAGGCGCGCAGGAGACAGCGGGACATGATTAAGAAGATGATTGCTGTCGAGGAGAAGAGGTTGCAAGAGCTACAAGAAGACGAAGAGGACAAGGATATTCAAGAGTTTTTGACGGAGTGAAGCTTCCCGTGACAAGCATTCCAAAGCTTGGAATCTGTCATGTATGCCCATCCGGCGCTGCACGCTTCTCAGCTTGTATCGAAAAGCAACACACGAGTTGATAGAACCCTTTATCCAACATGGTCTCGTCATTCTGCAGCCGAAGTACCAGTAAGGAGTCGAACATACACTCCACCTTTGCTGGCAGTGTAAATTTCGGAGGCGAGGATATGGTCAGGAAACTCGTGTCTCATCCAGGTACTTCGTCATCGCAATAACCAGATATGGCGGAAGTCATTTTGGCTACCCAGGTAAATAATGTTGCCTACGAAAGTGCTATACTTTTGCAGTTCTTGGTTAGCATGTAACTCAATACAATAAGCACTTTAGAAGACATCAACGGAGCTTATTTGTTTAAGTCGCGAGAGCAATAATGGCACCCACGAGGTCGAATTACACGACAAGGAAATTGAAGCCATCCAAATAAATTACTTTTCAAGGGGTCTAGCAACGTCACCTAGACAATCCAATACTGCAGCGTGCCACTTCAGAATACGCACCCCAGTGTTTCAGTGGCTCCTGGGCGGACATTGCCTATCAACGCCTAACCTTATCAGTGGAGCATTCTAATCTCACATAGCCTGGTCCTCAAACAAGGGCTAAGCTTACGACGCTTCATACAATAACCTGACAAGATGTGTCTTGTCAAGCCAGTACTCTGAAGAAGGTCAAACATTCATTTTCATGGCCTTAAGGTAGTATTAGGCATTTTGTTACGGGTGTCAGGCGCGAAGATGGCCGACATCCACACGCGCAGCGGCTTCATCCCGCTATCAACAGACGAAGAGAACGACGGGCGACCCGAGTCTCCGTCCGCAGCACTGGCGCACTCGCAGTCTTCTCTACTGCATCAAGTATCACACGTGCCAAAGCTCACGTTGCTGAACGGTCTTGCGCTCGTGATCGGTCTACAGATCGGATCCGGCATCTTCACGGTGCCCAGCGTCGTCTCACAGTTTGTGACAACTCCGGGCTGGGGCCTCGTCGTCTGGCTACTTGCTGGCGCACTGGTATGGACTGGCGCTGCTAGTTTCATCGAGTTGGGCTTGCGTGTGCCTTCGAATGGAGGTATTCAGGAATATCTCCGCGCCAGCTACGGCGGGTCGGGAGACTTCATGGGTTTCTTGTTCACCTGGACGTGGGTTGCTATAGCGAAGCCAGCCGCGAATAGTGTCATTGCTACGATTGCAGCGAGCTATCTGACGCGGCCCTTCCTTGGTGACGATGCTCAGCTCGGGCCCTGGCTGTCAAGAGGCATTGCGATGGGCTGCATTTGCCTGATCACGACTGTAAATTGCCTAGGGGCTACGAGTGGCGCAAAGGCGGCGAATATTTTCCTCGTTCTCAAGATGTCTGCGCTGTGCTGTATTATCATTATAGGGGCAGGGGCCTGGCTTGGAGGCAGTGGTGAAGGTGTCCCAAAATCCGAGACTGGCTGGTTTGGCCTGCCTCCCGAGTCTGAAGAGCTACCTCTTTGGCAGTGGATTGGGAACTTTGTCACTGCCATCTTTGGAGCTGTGTTCTGCTATGGAGGTTGGGAAACCGTTGGTTTTGTTCTGGGTGACATGGCCAACCCTGGCCGCGATCTCCCTATTGTCATCACAGGGTCAATGATTGCTGTTATTACCGGGTTTATTCTCATGAATGCCGCAATCTACATCTGCTTGCCGTTGACAATTATTCGAGCAAGTACTACAGTTTCAGTGGTAAGACTTACGTCCCGTTCTCCTGAAACACTGGGCTATCGCTCCCACAGCCGCAGCTCCTCGACTTGGAACTAACCAATGATGCCGAGTAGGAATTCGCGAGACGCATGCTTGGTTCATGGGCTGGTATTCTGTTCTCCATCGTCGTCTCAATTTCGGCAATGGGTGCCCTCAATGCCAATGTCTTCGCAACAGCACGCTTGTGCGTCGCGGCCAGTCAAAGGTCCTACTTTCCTCGTGTCCTAGCAAATCTTCATTGTCTTTCAGAGAAAGATGAGGCTGAATATCTGGAGCACAAGTTCCGCATGCTGCCTTCATTCTTACGGGGTGGTGTGACCAGGTTCGCCCAATGGACAGAGTCTCTTCGCTGGCATCGATCAGTTCCGATGTGAGTCTTCCTTATTCTCCAAGAAGCGGTCAGTATAGTGCCCGGGCGCGGTTTGACTCATGCGGTTGCTAGTTATGCCTTGATACTCAACGGCACACTTGCGTCTTTCTATGTTATCATTGGCAGTTTCAACGGGCTTGTGACACTGATAGGTGATTTGGTCTCCCCGTGTTATAAGGTCTTTTGACTAATGAGAAATTTTCCTAGGACTTGCGGAGTATGCGTGTTTCTTTTTCGCGGTGCTGGGCCTCCTTCTGTTGCGCCGCCGTGAGACGCATCAGTTGAGTCAGGCCGTCCATCCCAGTTCCAATTATAACACATGGATTGGGAATCCAATCATCTTCACCGTCGTGAGTGGACTGCTTATTTTGCGAGGAGTCATGAGCGATCCATTACAGGGCCTCGCCATCGGCTTCGTGGCATTCTCCGGGGTGGCAGTCTTCTATTTGAAATTTGGGTTACGCGGCTTCGGGGCGCCTGTCAGTGTGTAATTTGTGTCGTGGGGTGCCTCCGAAGACATACGTCCAGGACTGCAGCCTTGCCCAGCAAAGACGCAGCCTTGGCCACTGGTGGCGCGCGCTTGCACCAAGCCTACCTGGAAGACCTTGCGCGTATCGAGTGAGCTGTTTCCTTCTGAGGTGGCCTATCATGAGACCCGGATGAAACAGGTGAGACCATGGCTCTCCTGATATGCCAGGTGTCGTGGGTCGCTCCTATGGGTTGACCATGCGAGACATTCTCCCGTCTCCTCCTGCAGCCTCGCGGGAAGCTAGAAGCGCTAGATCGCCGATAGCACCGTGGCCAGCGATCTGGGATCGTTGAACGAATCTCAAAATGCTCTTGGCTACTGGCCTCTGAATCGGTCCATAGAGCAGCTCGAGCGGCCCACGACGTCAAGTTGTGCAACTTTGGGTAGCAACACACGTAACTTCCGTGAATAATATCCGGGTTGGCTGATGGAGCCGTGTTGCACGTTGGGTGACATGACTTGATTTGGATGGGGAACACGTCAAAGTCTGCACAAAGCCAGTTGCACAGCAGGAGCAAGACTGGCAAGCACCAGGGCAGCCATGTAGGTAGAAATTGCAGTCGCCGTGCGTGTGGCTCGATGCAGCTGCATTATGTAAGGCTGTATACCCCTAGACATGACTTCATGTAAGGTCGCTTCTGCATCATGACTGGTCTATGCAGCTGTTGGATACCTACAGTAGTGATTACTCCGAGCTGTATGATAGCCAGAAAGGCGACCAAACGGGTCTTCCCAGGGCTATTGCCATCAAGGCGAGGAAATGCAGAATGCGTTGCGTGCATGCATACGGACTGTTCAAGCATCCACGTCCCACCGGCGTCAATCTTCGCTGAAAGGACTTTTTTTGATAACGCAAGAGAGCCATTAGTCAACGAATCGGCCTGATGGAGGGCGAGGCTCGGGACTTCCACTTTTAGATCGATGGTTGTGGTAGTCGGAGACGTTGAGCGAGGGCAGAGGGTGGGGATCATTTGCTCGAACAACGGAGACTTACGCACTCGCCCACCGAGTCTACTCTATATCGGACAAAGGAGACGTGATGTTGATGGTGTGCGACAGTGTCATGATCCTCTTGCATTGGTCCGACGCCCGGCTATTGTTGGGATTTATCGTTGACCATCCGCTTGGGTGGGTTAAAATGTTCAGGTGAGGGTGTGCACCGGTCGGACAAACAAGAAACGAAGAGGGGACCGGGAGATAGCATAGCGTGTTCTATGACAGTCAAGGTGAGGCTGGCAGGCAGGCAGACGGACAAGATAGACACCGAGGGGGCATCACGAGCATAATGCTACTATACACCTACCCAACTTTAGAAGCTCTAGGTAAGGGTAGATAGGCAGATAGACTCCCACACATCTGCGAGGTGATGCGGCACCGCAGAGTACTGCGCTGTACCTACATGAGGCACGGTTCTTGAAGCGAGACTAGGTCTTACTGTGTATTGTCCTAGCAATTGGCAATGGCAAGGTGAAGAGAGCAGCAAGGAGGGGCGGGCCTGGCCGAGAAACAGGCACTTGCAACTTTGCTTGTCTCCCGCGCTCCTCTTGTTCGCTTGTCTCAAAGTGACTTGACTTCAACTTATTAGCGCGTGCTGAAACAAAACGCTTTCGGTTGACGTATCTGTCACCTTCCCCTTGTCCTTCCCCCTTGTCCTTGTTCTGAAGAGGTCCGTCGGTACCTTAAATGGTATTGCGAGTCCCGGCTCCGCTGCAGCTGACGGGAGCTTCAGCGAGAGGCAGAGCACAGAGCCAGCTTAGTCCCTGAACCCTGCCAACGCAAAGTTCCCAGGGCTGGCCTGGCTTCTGGCCAGTCGGGAGGTTGACGGGAGTTGCTTCCAATGGAGACCTTGTCAGTTCGTCAAGAAGACTTCCATCCCAAACTACCCTCTCCAGTCAAAGCCACTCACTACGCTCTCAATCAGCCTTCACACCACCAGAACACACGTACATCCGCAGGCAGCCCACCCACGCCGACCCCTCCTTGGCCCCTCCCTAGCCCCTCATCCTTCAATGCACGTCTAAGACTAGCACGGCTTGGGCGCGCATGGAATGCCTCTCTACTGCATGGTATCCGTCTCTCCTCGCGGCTTTCTCGATGGCCGATCTGTCACTGTCTCCTCAGGCTCAGGCTCAGGCCCAGGCGACTGCTTGCTCCGTACTGTGTGTATGTGAGTGTGTGAGTCTCTGGCGGACCAACAAGGCGTCCCTCTAGTCTGCCCTGGCACCACCTCTACGGGCCATCACCGTCGTGCGACGGAAGCTGTGGACACTCGTCGAAGGCATGTGCACCATCAACGTCAAGGGACAGCGCGCCACAGCTGCTGTTATGCGGGGTGCAACACGACGGGAATCGTCAGAAACGGACGGCGGGCAGGCTGTGTCATTGTTAGACGAGCAGTAGTAGTAATAGCAGCAGCAGCAACAACAGCAACAGCAAGCAGCTTCGACGACGACGGATGTACTGGCGGACGCATCATGCACGCTTGTCCTCACGGCAGCTTACCTACGCTCGCTACAGTACGAGTACTGGCTACGGCAGACTAGACTAGCAACTGCAAGGTGCAAGCAAGTGGGTATCTCGGGTTCTGGACACAGACATATAAGTCTCTTCACCTACTGCAACAGCTATGTCATACCTCACTTTCGCCTCCCCTTCGCGTCCCATAGACAAGAGAATTTTTCTGTAGATCTGATGAAAAATTAGTTCTTCTTGCTTGTCCATCACTTATACGTGCTCGATTATAATTATCATCGGGTTATAATATCCTGGTGGTATGAGTCCACATTAGGTCACTCGGTATGTATGGCTTCGCTGCGCCTCACTTACACCCATACCACACACCTACCGCGTAGGCGGCTTTCTTTTACCCCCCAGCAGCTGCAACTGGCTGCGCAAGGCTCCCATTCCCAAAGAGAAAAGGGATCTCCCCCACGACTTCCAATCCTTTCCTTCTAAACTTCAACCTCAATTTCTACTCGCCGCTGACCTGCTCTCACCGTGAGGTTTCGTTCCACCGCAATTCTGAAGTAGCTCAGTCACATATAATTGGTGGTAATCACAGACGTCAGAGCCCAACCCACAGAGACGAACTAAGACAGCAGTTGCCGGGATCGTGGGAACTGCTATTTCTACGCGAGGCTCCGAGTTGAGCGTGGCCCTGATCTGCGCCAGCAATCGGCCTGTCAATCGAAAACCATGTCCCCTCGTTCTTAAAGTGGAGTGACAAGCACAATCCACAGCAGATTCATTCCAGCATGCCAGAGCTGACCGACGTCGAAAATCTGTTACAGACGGGACACTGGACCACCGCACAAGCTAGGAGTCCGGCACCGTAAGAATGCTCCTTTTTTTCACATTGACTCCCACAGACATAAAGAATGGCGATGGCGGTGCTGACCGCTTCGTGTCATTGCAGGTCTTCAGTTCGAGCTAACCAGGCCATCCCAAGAAGCTTCCATGACAAGGACCTTCTGCGGCGCTTCCCTCCCCCGCCCAGTGTTGAGGATGAGGCCGAGTCAATTGCCAGGGAGCACGGCGGGTCCGTAGTCAATTCATCTAGCGAGGAACCCAAGTTTCCGGGAGATGTTGATCAGCACCCCATCCTTTTGCCGGTTCATGAGAACAATCCGGAGCGCCGGTTTGTGCTCGTCTCGCCCTCGGAGACGGCCGAGGAACAGGACCCCATTATCGACGGCGGAGCTGCGGACCCACTACCACAGCCGAAAGAAGAGTACGAAGCAAACACCTGTCGAAAATACGTGTTGCTCGATCCAGAAGAGGAGGAAGCCAAGCGGCCTCAACCTCAACGGCGGAAGAGTCGGCTTGAACTTCCCCGTATAGAGACTGATGTGCACCCTAACCCTCGATCGGCCAATTTCCACAGGACCAGATCAGCCACCTATATCGATCAGAAGCCAAGAGACTACTTTGATCGCCAGAACGAGACATCAACGCCGTCAAGAGATGTGTTCCTCTCACCACAGACTGCTAATGTCATCAAGCATGCTACTAAGGGCCGTGAGAGGGCTTATTTGGATTTCAACCCCGGCAACAATGAAGCGAGTGCTCGCAATCGGCCTTCTGCCAATGATCCCCGGGCCGTATCCACGAACGAGAGGCGAAATGGTCCCCTTAAAGCGTCTTACTCACCTGGTGCACCCTTGCATAAACGTGCTAGCTCTGCCATCGAGGTGCCCAGAGGAGAATTTCGCCGGACATCGGATAGGTATGGCTCATATCGGGAAGAAATATCCAGTCCTCGGTTGAGAAGAAGGGATCCATCACCACCGCCGCTGGACAGGAAGCGGTCTTCACCACCCCGACGGGAAAGGCGAGACTCGATGTCTGAACGCACACTTCCAGAGCGAAAGAACCTATCTCGGCGGAATTCTACATACGGCAATCGGCCCTCTCCCCCAAGAGATGATGAGCTGCACTACTCAAGTGACGAGAATGCTAAGCGGCAGTCGTCTCGACGATCTGAAAGACGGAAGTCATTTCTGTATCAAGAGAAACCTGTAAACCTACTGAGCCCTGATCAAGCTCGCCCGCCGCCCTTGATCCGACAAAAATCTCGGACTACCACACCATTGGCATCGCCGAGAGTATCGCAGACCCAGTTCCCGGACCCGGAGCTCATTCCCAGCCCACGGAGCTCACGAACATTCCCACAGGCGAGAGATCGACGCCAGTCTCCTGAGAGACCGGTATCTCCATTCTCGTCGGGTGATTCGCCGTCGCCTCGTAGCAGCTCCAGATTGCGGATGGATGACAATATTTCCAGTTCCCAGGCTCTGTCTCGAACCCCTAGCATCAAGTCCAATGCAGGCACAGCCACATCCAAGCCGGTAATTATGCCAATACCCATCCCCACCAACAGCAGTTCTTCTCCAACTGAGCGGAGACGGTCGCCCATTCCGCCACCGTATGCTCGCCAGAGCTCCTTAGAGGCCAGCCCGCCCCTGACACCCCCAAAGCCATACTGGCAACCTGCGCCCTTCCAGCCCCCATTCACTCCACCCCAGAGCACTCCTTCGCAAAGCGGAACTAACCTGGACCAGCCAATTGTCTCCTACCGCCGGTACTCAGAAGACGTTAGTCAAGGAGTGCTGCCCGGCCTGCCAGACTGCCCACACCAGACGGCTGAGGCAGGATATGAGGATTGGTTAACGCTGCCGCGGTGTGACAACTTCAACCTGTGCCGTAGCTGCTACGACCAAGTGTTCGCTGGCACGGATTTCCGCTCACACTTCATAGCCGCTCGTCGCCCGAAGGACAAAGAGATATCGTGCGACCTGGGAACATCTCCTTGGTATCGCATTGCCTGGCTGATGACACGCAAGTACCGACACCCGGACTTGCGTCTCCTGCAAGGCATTGCGCACGTGGAAGCCAAGAATCAACCTTGCTCAGGGGGCCATATGGCAGTCCGGACTTGGTGGAGCATCAAGGATCCGTATAGTGGCCGCTGCATCCAGGACTTTAACGTCTGTTACCATTGTGCAAAGGCAGTCGAGGTACTGTTCCCGAACCTGCTCGGCGTGTTCGTGCCCGTCGACTCGCCCGGCCCTACCCGGGACATCTGCAGCCTGCACTTCGCGCCGGACCGCAAGCGCTTCAACCTGTACTTCGACCTGCTGGAGGGCACGTACGACCGCGCGGTGGCGAACAAGTCCGCGCCCAACATCCCGCAGCTCGCGACAAAGGTGCGCCACATGTCCTCGGTGGGCGAGTGCGCGCGCGACGACGTCGTGCGCGGCGGCGCGTGGCACATGATGGAGAAGCTGCAGGAGTTCACCGTCTGCGAGGAGTGCTTCCACGACGTCGTCTTCCCGGAGCTCGAGGCCGGCAGCATGGTCGCGCGCAACTTCTACCAGAAGCCGCAGCGCCTGCGCCGCGCCGCCTGCCAGCTGTACTCGCAGCGCATGCGCGACGTGTTCCGGCGGGCGTGCCAGAAGGACGACTTCAAATACCTTCAGGTCAAGGTCAGGGAGAGATTGGACATTGAGATGGATATCAAGAAGAGCTTGCAGAAGATTGATGACCATGGGCCTCAAGAGGCGTTTCGGGAGGAGGTGGAAAAGTTAGTGCGCGAATGGCGGAAATGGGAGTAATGAAATATATAGGAGGGGAGCTTAAAGGGTTCAATAGGCGTTTTACCTTGTGTGTCACGAGTATGAATATGACGATAAAGTTGAACGAGTAGATGTCAGAACATACAGCGAGGTTCGTTTCATATTTGTTAAGGGGTTTTGTACAATTGTGCTTCATGGTAGCACCACGCACCTAGGTATGATATGGAGATTATGTAGTGGTCTTATCTACCATTTATTCATTGGATTCGTTTGCCTCAGCCTCCTGGTTCTTGTTCCAGTCCTCCTCGGAGATGCTGAACGAAGTTGCCAACATCACCATTGAAGCCCACAGTTCCGACTCTATAACGAGATGGCACAGCTCCAAACCGAGGAAATTCGCGACGGCCGTCCACGAGAAGCACCGTATGGGACTGAGATCATAAATGTCCGCAATGGGCAATCCGTGCTGCATGCGCCACGACCTTGCAAGAAACCGTAGCGCGAAAGCTTCGTACGGCGCGATGAGTATGTATGATGACACGACCGTGAGTATGTCTGTTGCGATAACGGACGGAAGTCGTGTTAGTGCATTGTCGCGGTAAAGGGGCTCCTGTCGGACAGTGCCCTGTTCGCCGCTTGTATTGGGCCGCAGCTCGGCCGACCAGAAGCCCGTCGTCGGCGTGTCTGTCGACTCAGTGGCCTCGACGTCGAAGCTGATCAGAGTAGCACTGACGACTTCTGTCTCCTCGTCGTCGCTGACATATTCATCGCCGCGACTCGAGAACGTGCTCTGTCGCCTGATGGCACCGACGGGTATTGCGTCTGCCGATGGAGGCGCCTGGCCTTCGAGGGCTCGGATGGTGGCCTCGTCACGGATTAGGCCCTCGACAGACTCTCTCGCTATCTCGCGAGCGTTTCTTGCTTGTGCATCGCCAGCAAGGTCCCGTAAAGAGGCGGCAGCGGCTTCTGGGAGAGTCTCAGTGGCGTTCACTTGCGAAAGTCGATTTGTAGTAAATGCTTTCCGGTTGATAGGACTAGGCATGCGATCGTATATGCGAAGCCAAACATTCCTTGTTACGTAGGTCCAGAGCCTGCTGTATGCCCAGAAGGCTGCAAATGGAGCCATGCTCAAGGCAACGCCACCAACCCATTGTACGACGGATGCGGGAGTGAGGGAAGTAAGTGGAGGCGGTGCAGGAATAGGGGATGTGTTCGAAAATGGAATGAAGTATCTCCACCTCGGAAACCACGAGCTCGATGGTATGAGACCCATTCTCTGCATGAAAACCCATATCTGAAGGTGCATCCGCACATATGTCAAAGCCGATCGAAGACTATGTCAACTTAGCTTATGTCGCAAAACGTGGCGAAAGACTTACAAGAAATTCTTCTGGCAAATCCCAAAGGAGAAGGAAATCTGCTTCAACGCGTGGTTAAGAGCAAATGCCGGCAGTCCAGTGAGAAGGATACTTGATGCGGATCTTTGCGTATGCTCATACTTAAAGAGGTCATAGAAAGGCACATTGGCGTATTGCCGGTATAGCTGGAAATTGTTAACAGATGTCAAATTTCAAAAGGCATATTCCTGAGATAGGTACCAGTATTCGTTGGCGTAGGCCATTCACTCCCCAAACGCCTCCTATCTCTAAAGCTCTGCCAACGTTGAGGAGGACGCGACCAACATCATCGTCGCGTTGATCATGCTTGCGGCGACGTACAGCCTCTACTTTAAGCTCATCGGCGGTATTCTCAGGCTCGGCAACACCAATGACAAGCATTACTTCGTTGTGTGACCGTATCACATCCTTGTTGATGCGCTTAGTATCCGGATTCACCGGCCGACCCCGTTCATCATATAGTTGAACAGGAGCCCTTATGTCGCCTTCACCATCTCCAATTACAACATCATCATAAGGAGAGCGGCCCTACACAGTACAGTCATTAATAACCACATAAATAAAGCTTCCACGTGTTTTCCCTAAGTAGACCAAATGCGGGTGGCGCAGAAATGAGTCAATCTTACAAGAGCCTGCGAAGTTAGAGGTCCTAGCTTTCCCATGATCAAACTCTCCAAGCTATTCTATGTTTATAGCCCTTGTTCATGTCATTTTGTCACGCCGGTAGACCTCGCGCAAGCGGATGAGAAACGCAGCAGATTCGAGTGACACAGTCGCTTCGGGTCGATGGGGGAAATGCCGAGGTCGTTTGCCTTGATGAAAGACGGGACTGAGCATAAGGCTGTGAGATGAACAGATGGATGAATTTGATGTGGTAAGGTGTGACATTAGCACGCCTGGGGCAGCTAAGAAAATTGGCTGGCTAGATGCCAGCGCAGGCAGTCCAGGCAGCCCCATGACGCTAAGATAACCTTATCCTTATCGCGGGGTTCTCAAAAAAGTTCGCTGGAGAAAAGAAAAATTTGGACTTCGAGACTGTTTGACAGCTTCGCTCGCCCCAGATATTCTCGGGTCTGTCAATCGCTCCCTACCTTCAACATGGCTACTAAACTGCCATACAAGACCACTTTTGAACCGGAGAGAGTGATTCAACCTATCTTTACAGGGGGCTCCGTAGCTCTGGACAATGGAGCTCGAATCCTTGCGACGACTCTAGGGGAGGATGCCATTTTGACGGATCTGCACAATGGCAAGCAATTTGCGAAAATCGAAGGCGTAGGTGGTATATAGCCCAGTTATCCTTAACACCTGCTAACCTGGATGCCAGGATGGAGAATCTATATCTACCTTGACCCGTTTGTGCTGCCTGATCCAGTTATAAAGCTCTCAATTGACTTGGACTAGTTACGCCCTCCGCATCCCACTTGATCGTGTGCTCCCGGTCTCTCTCGATGCGAATATACTCACTGAAATTATCACCCACTTTCGATTCCGTTGAGCCGACCCTCATTCGAACGCTGAAGCCTCATGCAACACCAGTAGTCGTTTTGGCGATTGACCGCACTGGAACGTTGCTTGCGACTGGAGCGGCGGATGGCAACATCAAAGTTTGGGACTTGGTCGGAGGTTATGTTACCCACACATTCCGTGGCCCCAGTGTGCTGGTCTCTGCACTTCACTTCTTCGAGATATCTACTGGACGCCTAGGGTTGGATGCTGTTGGAAGTCATACCAAAAAGGGTCGTCGGAAAAGCAATATAGCCAGCGAATTGACGGAGGACGGGGAGACTTCTACCATCAACTTCCGTTTGGCTGCAGGCAGCCAAGATGGAAAGGTCAGGGTATGGGATCTTCACAAGCGTAGCATCATTGGAGACCTAGACTCCCATGTTTCGGACGTCACTGGTCTTGCATATTCCCCTGGACAACATGCCCTGGTCACAGCCAGTCGAGACAAAACAATCATATGGTGGGATGCAAAATCGTGGAAGGTCAGGAAAGTAGTCCCCAGCTTTGAGCTTGTGGAAGCAGTTGGGTTTCTTGAAGACGGCCGATTAACCTACTCAGCTGGCGCCAATGGCTGCGTCAGGTTATGGGAGAGCGAGACTGGCCGCGAGGTCACAAGAGACCAGACGGCGAAAGCAGAGGCGGAGTCTATTGTTGGAGCCGTTCTGTGTGCAGAGCAATCTTTGCTGATCTGTGCACAAATGGATCATACTCTTGTTCTTTACCGACTACCGTCCGTGAAGCAAACCACAATTATCCCGGAAATGCAGCCACTCGAACCGTTGCGACGGATATCAGGGACGCATGACGATATCATAGATCTTGCGTATCTTCTACCAGATAAGTCTATAATGGCTTTGGCTACTAATTCCGAGGAAGTGCGTCTCGTATCTGCCCTCGACTCCTCGGGCGGAAGTACAGACTTTACTGGGAGTGGCAATTATTTCGGACAAGACGTGGCGGTACTTCAGGGCCACGAGGATATTGTTATCACACTGGATGTCGACTGGTCCGGTCACTGGGTGGCGACTGGCGCAAAGGATAACACAGCTCGACTATGGCGGGTTGATCCCGCTAACAACTCCTACACCTGTTATGCAACCTTTACTGGCCACGCAGAGTCGCTGGGAGCAATAGGCTTGCCCAAAACAGTCCCGCAGGAGACTTCGGCAGCATATACTGATCCATTGAGCCATCCTCCTCCTTTCTTAATTACTGGGTCTCAAGACCAAACTGTTAAGAAATGGGAAATTCCCCGTCAAGCGCAGAAAAGCTCTCAAAAGGGGTCAAGAGCACTTTTTACGCGGAAAGCTCACGACAAAGACATCAACGCCATTGACGTTAACAGCTCGGGACAACTGTTTGCCTCGGCTTCTCAAGATAAAACAGTGAAGATCTGGTCCGTGGCTGAAGGCGAGGTCCAAGGTATCCTAAAAGGCCATAGGAGGGGTGTCTGGACGGTTCGATTTGCCCACCCTCAAACCCCTGTCATTCAAGGAGACCAAGGCACGGTAGCGGGCAAAGGACTCATTCTCACGGGCAGTGGTGACAAAACAGTCAAGCTATGGAGTCTCTCAGATTATACCTGTCTAAGAACATTCGAAGGGCACTCGAACAGTGTCCTCAAGGTGACCTGGCTAAATCTTCCTGCGGAGGGGGACAAATATAAGCGAGTACAATTTGCCAGCGCGGGAGGAGATGGACTTGTCAAGGTCTGGGATTCCAACAGTGGCGAGACAGAGTGCACCCTGGACAATCATGAGGATAGAGTATGGGCCTTGGCTGTACACCCCCAATCGAACATGATTGTGTCAGGAAGCGGAGACTCGACAGTTACCTTCTGGAAAGATACTTCGTCTGCTACGCAATCGGCAGCGGCTGAGGCTGCCACGAAGCGTATCGAGCAAGAACAGGAGCTTGAAAATTACATACATGCGGGCGCATACAGAGATGCGATTATTCTGGCACTTCAATTGAACCATCCTGGCCGCCTGCTCAACATATTCACAAACGTTACCACCAGCAACAGTCCTGAGCAAGGAAGCCTATGCGGTTTGCGAGCTGTCGATAAAATCCTTGCCAGTCTGTCAGATGAGCAGCTCTTCACCCTATTATTGAGATTAAGAGATTGGAACACAAATGCTCGCACTGCACCTGTTGCCCAAAGAATTCTCTGGACTTTAGTCAGGAGCTATCCAGCGTCAAAGTTCTCCAACCTGTCTATCAAAGGCAGCCGAGGGCAGAAGAGCCTTAAAGAGGTTCTCAATGCGTTAAAGGTGTATACTGAGAGGCATTATAAGAGGATGGAGGAGCTGGTGGATGAGAGCTACTTGGTGGAATATACCCTGCAGGAGATGGATAGCCTAGCTCCTGCCCTTGAAAATGGATCTGAGGGATCAGGAGACGTTCTGATGCTAGATGCGTCCTCATGATAGAGCCTGAGGGCATCAATAACACAATATCACCTGATTCATAGCTATGAATGTATGTAACAAATGTCATGAAAATTAATAAACAATTTGAATTGTTCATGTCGAATATCGTGAGGAGCTCTGGTGGTGAGTATAAATATGGTGGGGCGTGGATGCAGCACAAGTTTGCAGGCACTAGTAGTACCTGCGAAATTCAGCCAGCCTTGTAGCCATCGATAATTTTGGTGACTGCAGTAGCAGATCTCTGTGTCGTGCCACCCACATCCTCGACACAGACATCAAACAGCATAGCTATCAACCTGCCATAATCTAGCATCTCAGAGCCGGTATGGCAAAGCGACTTGCATCAGAAGCTCTCGAGGAACTTCTCGACATCGCTTCGCCCGCCTCGAAGAGATCGAGAATCGGCGAGATTAGCGACGAGAGCCCAAGCCCCGTCGAGAATGGTAACGCGACAGGCAACGGAGCAGCCCATGGAAATGGTGTCGCGAACGGCGGAGATGAAGATTTCGAAGACGAGATAGAGGAGAAGGCTCCCATTCGCCAGTCGGCGCCGACAGCAGGTTATGACGACCTGTACCTCGACACCATCGATCGCAATGTACTGGATTTCGACTTCGAAAAGCTATGCTCAATCTCGCTCTCCAATATCAATGTCTACGCATGCCTTGTATGTGGAAAGTACTTTCAGGGGCGCGGGCCGAAATCGCATGCCTATTTCCATGCGCTGGACGAGGGCCATCATGTCTTCATCAACATGGAGACGCAGAAGGTGTACGTCCTACCCGAGGGCTACGAGGTCACGAGCAAGTCGCTCGACGACATCAAGTACGTTTCGGACCCGCGATATACCAAGCAAGAGGTGGCAGAATTCGATCGCAAGCCGAGGACGAGCTGGACGCTGGCAGGCAAGGAGTACACGCCGGGTTTTGTGGGGATGAACAACATCAAGGAGAACGACTATCTCAACGTCGTGGTGCAGGCTCTGTCGCATGTGCCACCGCTGAGGAACTACTTCCTGCTCGAGGACTTCAAGTCAAGGCCAGAGCTAGCGAAGCGGACGAGCATCCTGTTCAGGAAGATTTGGAACCCGAGGGCGTTTAAGTCGCATGTGTCGCCCCACGAGCTGCTTCAGGAGATTTCATTACGGTCTAATAAGCGCTTCACTTTGACTGCGCAGTCTGACCCTGTTGAATTCCTGAGCTGGTTCCTCAACAATCTCCACTTATCACTGGGCGGAAGTAAGACAAAACCGGGAAGCAGCATGGTGCAGAGGGTATTCCAAGGGAAATTGAAGGTGGAATCCCAAGCGATCACAGCAAAGGCAGACGTGGGGGATCGATTACGCTTCGAAGAGGCTGCAGAGGTGAAGGTCGAGATCAACCGCTTCCTCCTGCTGACCCTGGATCTGCCTCCGGCGCCCCTGTTCCAAGACGAGCTAGAGCGGAACATCATCCCCCAGGTCCCTCTCACCACCATTTTATCAAAGTATGACGGCGTGTCGGCGCAGGACCACCTGGCTCAGAGGAAACGTTACCGACTCATGCACCCCTTGCCGCCATATCTCATACTGCATGTCAAGCGATTTAGTCAGAACAAGTTCGTGTCGGAGCGCAACCCCACCATCGTCACTTTCGACGCGCGGAACCTGGACGTGTCGCCGTACGTCGAGCCAGACCCCAGCGCTCATCCGCCCGGGGAGCCAATCTGGTATGATCTAGTAGCCAACGTCGTACACGAGGCTGTCAGGGCCAAGGAGGACGTGGCAGACACGGGTGAGGAGAGGAAGACGTGGAAGGTGCAGCTACACGACCGCGCGAGGGATGAGTGGGTTATTTGCCAGGACCTGTTCGTGGACAAGATCCAGAACGAGCTCCTCTATCTGGGCGAGACCTATCTGCAGGTCTGGGAGAGGAGGAGAGATACAAAAGGAAAGGGAAGGGCATAGACAGCTTATATTGACAAGCGCAATATAGACTAATTAGCGCAATGTCTCGATGGCGAGCATTGACAAAATTCACGCGCTTGATGAGATGACAGTTGAGGCAATTGATCATAATGTCGCAGAGATATCGGTGCCCTATCCGCACCGGCCCCCTTGATCCTAGCTATAGCTACAATAGAGTACAAACCCAAATGTACCTCCAAACCTCACGTTTCTCAACCAAAGTAGCAACCCGCAACGCTCGGAGGCCAAATCACCTGAGCAAAAAGCCCAGAGCGTACAATGAGCCATCATGTCCAAACAATGTGATAGACAATCGCGCCAGAGAAAATCCTGGGAACCTGACGCTAACGGCAAGTGGTGCCGGTGGTGCTGATGTTGTTATACAACGAACGGGAGATGTGTGTCATGCACCCGTGCGAGAATGGAGAGAGAAAAGGGCCATTGAAGATCAGGCAAATCATGACGCCTGATTGGCCTTCTGGTCCTCTGACTGCTGCTTGCCCGACCGCTTGTCGGCGTGGTGGTGGCTGTTCTGCTTCTCCCGGCGTGACTCTTCGATGGTGATGCGCTGCTGGATACTCTCGTCGTGGCTCTTGAACTCCACCTTGGTGTCGGGCGGGAAGTTCAGGACTCGCTTCATGGTTTCACTAGACATTGACGTTAGTAAATCGTGAGTCTTGGGCACAATAGAACGAAGGGATACGTACCGAATCTTGAGCACCCGCCCTCCATCTGTGCGAGTCCAGATGCTGAGAATATCCTCCCCGTTGCGCACGCTCATAACGGCGCCACAGACTTCCTCGCTCGCCTCACCGAACTGATCTCCGATGATCGCAAGGATCAGGTCCTCCCAGTACCTGTCCGCCACACCTTTCTTAAGACGAACGATCCACTTGCCACCCTTCTTGTTCTCGTCATCCTCCCAGATCGGCCGGATGCCCTTCTTGAACAGGTGGTAGTCCGACACCAGCGGCAGCGTAGACGGCCTCTTCAGGTGCGCGTACACCGCGAAGAACTCCTCCACAGTGTCGCAGTTGGCGACCGCATGCACCGTCTTCTCGTATGCAATGTAGCCGTTGGACTTGGGGATCGGCGGCCGGAACCAGAACACCCAGCTGTTCCGCAGCGAGTGCGCCGACGACTTGGACAGAGCGCCGCCCGCCGCCGGCTTGGCTGCTGCTGCGCCCTTGGAGGCCGAGGCCGGGAAGCTCCCTAGAGACGCATCCTTTGCCGACTTCTCGGCGCCGGGGGTCTTCAGAGCGAAGTCGAAGGGGTTGCCGGGGGACTTGGGCGTCTTGGCGGAGCCGAAGGAGGCAAAGGCGCCGGAACCTAGGCCGAATGCGCTGGAGGCGCCCGGAGAGGCGAGCCCGCTGCCGGGCGCGGGGACGGAGTTGAAGGGGTTTGATTTTCCATGCGAGGAGCTGTCACCGCCGAATCGCTTGGAGAAGGAGGCGTTGCGGCCGGAGGAGGAGGAGTCGTTCTGGCCGGTGCCTGACGTGGATAAAGAGAGCTTGCTGGAACTGAGTGAAGAGAGCAGTTGTTAGCAACATGACCGTCAAGCAATAGATAGCAAAGGGCTGCTGCAAGGGGTAGTATCATACTTGGTCCGGCGACTCCATAGATTATCCATCAAGACAGCGAGAACGAGATCCTCCTAGAATTAGACTTTGGGACAAGTCGCAACAGCCGCTGCTCAAAGCTAGCTGCGTGTGTGCGGGCTTTGCAGACAGGACAACACCTCAAAGAGATACCAGCCAGTCCAGATGTGGTGCGGCAGTAGCAGTTACAGTCGACCTGGTGGCCACAGAAAAGCAGACCAATGTCTCGTCAGATAACTTGGTAAGGGCTCCAAAGGTAGGTGGGCTTGATAACGCGGTGATGTCAAGACGGGATTGACTCGAGAGGAGAAGAGGCCCGGATGCAAGGACGGTGGCAGTGGAGGTCGAGAATCTGACAGCGTATAGGGCAATATGCGAGGTCGTTGGAGCTGGAGTCTAACTGGATTGGAATAATTCGGAGAGGATTCGAACGTGGTGGTAACGTTTGGTGTGTTGGTATTGTTTCCGATTGTGTGGACAAGATTAAGTTGTAGTGGATTGGTATTACAGGTCGAGCGTGAATGTGTGAGTGTTTAGAGACCAGGGAGTGGGAGTGGAAGAGAGGAGAGCTGGAGATTCAGATGGAGATGGAGAGGGAGAGGGAGCAGAGGTGCATCAAAATCAAGCAAATCAGTTGGAGAGGCAGATGGAGAACATCGAAAAATCAGAGGCGAGAGAAATCTTCCAATGGAGAGAGCCGCTGGCACAGCGCTGCACTGGGCTGCACGGTAGGCTGCGGTAGGTAAGGCGTGGTGGGCTCTCCTCTCTCTCTTGCTACCAGTAGCTCAGGTAAGGTAAGGTACCTAGGTAAGTCGGCCACCTGGACACACCTAACGGACTCGGGCAGCCTGCTAAGGTATAAGAGCTCCACCTTAGCTAAAACCCAACCCATCAAACTCACCCAGTGTCCTCTCCCTACGATACAGTACATAGGCATATCCTCATAATTAAATGCCTTGCCTCCATCTGGAGATGTACGTACGTGTGAGTTTAGCCTCTGCCAGGCTCAACACTACCTACCTACTTCTACTTAGGTAGGCAATTGCTTCAATTGAGCTGTTACTATCCGGACAATGCTGCTGTGGCTTAAATGCTGGTTGTGCCGTCTGTCCGTCCGCACCCACACCACACCACACATCACACACCCCGCAGCCACCAGATCTCCAAGTATGTCCCTAAGAATAAGCGACACTTGCCCTGATTCAGCGCCGTCTAACATCTGCCTTTGATTCGCCTGCTCAGGGAAGCTGCATAACTTGTACGGTTTCAGACTATTTACTGTCCTCTCCTGCCCTGTACATTTATCTATCTTCTGGCCGGTGCAGGTGCAGGCCAACTCATCTTGCTGTGACTCCTCCTCCGAACGCGAGGCAATTGGCTGGAATAGGAGGCAGAGGAGGTACCTGAGTAGCAGTAGATAGCAGCCATGTAACGCAAATGTGCGGGCTAGAATAAAATCAATACCAATTGATCTTTTCAAGCATTGGAAGCCGCTGTCTTGTCCAGTCTCCAGGGGAGGCAATTGGAGGTCACGTGTGGCATGCTGAGGTTTGACTCACCCGCCCACTCAGTAGAAACCCGACAGGCGTAGCGTAGCAAGGCAAGGCAAGGCATGACTGACGCCTTTTCTGTAGAGGGTTAGCTAACGTTCAAGCTCCGTCCTCCCTCTACCCTACCAAACCCACCACTACCCATCAGACTCACTCCCTCAGATCCAGATCACCAGTTGCATAACATCCGAGCTTGAGCCTCACCCCCAAAGCGCGCACAAGCTACTGGAAGAAGACATTGTCTGAAGATCACACCCGAGGGGAGTTCTACTGCTTTACTTTGCGCCTCAGCACTTTTATACCAGCATCGAGTCGCTGCGGATTTCGTCATCGCCGCCCCTCCATCGCCGCAAAAGTTGCCCCGCCATCCTTTTCACTGCGACGGTGTCACCCTCGACGAATCTCAGCATGGGGTCCACGACACCCATCTTGCCCGTCCCAGGCAAGAGGAACACGCTCATTACGAGCGCGTTGCCTTACGTGTAAGTCACACTTCAGTCCTATCATCCAGATTCAGTTCTAACTGCCATCCAAGGAACAACGTGCCGCATCTTGTGAGTCTTACCTGAAGATGCTCTTAATGGTATAAATCCCGTCTAAACTCTCCAGGGCAACATCATTGGTAGTGTCCTCTCTGCCGATGTCTATGTGAGTAGATAGAATATGCGGATCACCATATGCAACCAAGCTAATTAGACATCAGTCACGTTTTTCAAAGAGCAGAGGCCATCCTACCTTGTTCATCTGCGGCTCGGTTTGTGCACTCCCTGATGTGAGGTATATTTGGATTTTGTACTAACAATCGGTCAGGATGAGTACGGAACTGCAACTGGTATGGATTTTTTCTTACATTGAGTGGAAGAATTTATCGTTGATATCTTTTACAGAGACCAAGGCGCTCGAGGAGGGTGTCTCACCGGCCGAGCTCTGCGCAAAGTACCATGCCCTCCATAAAGGGATCTATGATTGTAAGGAATCCGGCTTCATATTCTCTTACCGGCGAAATTAATAATGATGGTAGGGTTTGAGATTGCCTTTGACAAATTTGGTCGCACTCCCACACCTCAACAAACCGAGATCACTCAAGGTACATGATACACAGTCAACTACAAATACTCATCAGAAGCTAACACAACCCCAAGATATATTCCGCAAGCTCTGGAAGAACGGTTATATCGAAGAGCGAGAGACAACTCAGCCCTTCTGCCCAGTAGAGGCTCATCATACGGTAAACGAACATCTTCACGTGCACAGTCCACGTGCTGACTTATTCCCAGTTCCTCGCGGATCGCTTTGTTGAGGGTACATGCTCTATCTGCGGTGACAACGGCGCCCGTGGTGATCAGGTACGAGATGTAGAGAATTTTTGCTCTACTAGACTGTGAGCTAACTGGATGAAGTGCGATAAATGTGGTAATTTGCTAGATCCTTTCGAGCCGGAGCCAGAAGCAGGCGCTCCAGGCGATGATCAGGACGTCCAAGCCAAAGCAACGGGTTGGCTTATTGTATGTGTTTCCCATTCCCTTCCTGCCAGTACGAGTTTCTGACTCGAATAGAACCCGCGCTGTAAGCTAGATGGCGCGACTCCTGAACGGCGAAAGACAAAGCGTAAGTCTCCCCACAACAATGTAGAATCGGATGTTGTGTCTAATGTTAATAGACCTGTATCTGCGACTCGATGCGCTTAAGGACGAGATCAAGTCGTGGTCAGACAAGGCCAGTGTAGACGGCAGCTGGAGCGCCAATTGCATTCAAATCGTGAACTCATGGATCCAGAAAGGCTTGAAGGCTCGTGGAATCACCCGTGATCTTCGATGGGGTACCCCTATTCCCACTGGTCTCGATGGCCTAAGCGATGAAGAGTATGCGAAGAAAGTGTAAGTTGAAAGCACTCCACGAATAGCTTGGTGACGCGGCTAATTTTATTTCTTTTAGGTTCTACGTTTGGGTAAGGATGTTCTGAAGCTTGGGGCATGATCAGATCCAGCCAGGTACTGACCTTTTTGGATTAGTTTGATGCGTGTATTGGATATGTCTCCATCACAAAGTGCTATACCGATGGAGACGACCTCCAAGGCAAGAACTGGGAGAAGTGGTGGAAAAATCCTGATGAGGTCTCTCTTGTTCAGTTCATGGGCAAGGACAACGTTCAGGTACAGTTCTATTAAGACATGCTGAGGCTTCTAACTGCTAATGAATGATTGTAGTTCCACGCCATTATTTTCCCTGGCTCACAGTTGGGAACTGGCGACAAATGGACCATGGTCCACAAATTGTCCACAACAGAGTACTTGAACTACGAGGACAGCAAATTCAGCAAGTCCAAAGGAGTTGGTGTGTTCGGAAACAACGCCCAAGATACTGGCATCGAGCCAAATGTCTGGAGATACTATCTACTTTCCCGACGGCCAGAAACTAGCGATTCCGAGTTCAAGTGGCAAGAGTTCGTTGATGCTAATAACAACGATCTCTTGAAGAACCTGGGCAATTTCAACCAGAGAGTTCTCAAGTTTTGCCAGTGCGTTCCTCAAACATGTTAAGTTTTGATCATGGTTAGCTAACTCGCAGTCCGAAGAGCCAAGTACGATAGCGTGGTACCGGACTATACGAAGTACACTTCAGCGGAATTTGAGAGTCATAAGAAGCAGGTCAATGCTACACTAAAAGAGTACATTGCGAACCTAGAGGCGACCAAGTTACGACAAGGCTTGGCTGACGTCCTGTCCATCTCTGCGTAAGTTATTGCTGTCATAGCTACTATTTGATGTATTGCCAGTGTACTAACATAGTGGCAGCCTCGGAAACAAGCTTCTACAAGGTATGAATATACTTATCCATAAAGCCTAATGCATCGAGCCCAGCTTGCAAGCACCATCTCAGGAGGCCTCTCTCTTATAGCTTTTCGCCCTTGATTTCTGTGATTGCATTGCAGTCAATATGCTAACCCATTGACTTTGCTAGATAACAAGCTTGACAACCGCCTTTTGACCGAAGAACCTGATCGATGCGCCGCTGTCATTGGCACTGCACTGAACCAGATTAAGCTGCTCGCTAGCATCCTCTACCCCTACATGCCAGGCACTGCGGAGTCTATTTTCACACAGCTGGGGCTTGAGCCTTCACCTTTCATCCCAGATACCTGGACAGCTGATGACTTGAAGCCCGGCCACAAGCTAGGTGCACCCAAGCTCCTGTTCACGCAGATCCCGGCAAGCAAGGTCGAAGAATGGCGCGAGGCATACGGTGGTGAAGAAGTCAGAAAACAGAAGGCGCTCGCCGCTGAGAAGGCCGCAGAAAAGAAGGCACAGAAGGAAAGAGAGAAGGAGAAGAAGAGGCTCAAGAAGGAGGCTGCAGCTGCGGCTGCGGCTGCTGCTGCGGCGAACGGTCAGCCTTCTTCGTCGGGCACCGTAGAGACGGCGGAGAAGCAGCAAGAAACTGATCCCGTCATTGAAAAAGTCACCGAGGCGCTGGAGAAGGCAGACGTGCATACATCCTAGACCGTTGCTTGCTTGACTTGGATCGAGACATAGAAAGAGGTTGCGCTCCTCAACATGTAGCTCATCTTGCGTGGGATATTTCTATTTGTTCGTGTTAGATAGAGCAGGGTAGCCGCTCTTGCTTCAACGCAATGGGTCTATAGTCAAGGGAAATTTCTGGTATATTGATGTACAAATACATTCAGTCAGATGTCCTGTCATCGCGAAAGGGGTAATGAGGCTGACCGCCTAGCGCGCAAACGTGGGCGGTGAGAGAATTCTGCCGGCTAAAATCCTTGTCGCTGTTTATCTCCAGTGCGCAGAGACGAGCAGCTTGGCTTTCTCTTTCTCTCTTTTCTTTCTTCATCCAGACGACCACAAACTCAAATCATCGCCAGCATCTGCCCGAGATGTCATTTCTCGACCACATCACAATGCTGACGATTCCGATTCGTGTGTCAAGATGAACGAAACAAATGCCCTTGTTTAAAACCATCATCACGAGGGCCCCTTTGCGTGGCTACCCATGATGCGTTGATGACCTGAAACAAGTTTGGACATGCCAGCTACTGCTGATATCCTCATCAATCATGATCATAGACCGTCACTTGCGACGTCTTGCCTGAAGCGTAAGTGCATTCTATCTATGAATCACGCGTGATTCGCGATGATGTATCTAAATCATCTGGTAAACTGATGCTCAGCCGCCGCCGGTGGCTTGCGGTCTCGCCCTGTGGCAGAACGCCAGTCCGCGGTTGCGGTTGAGTCTGAAGAGACAGACCAAGGCTTTATACACATGTTTCTGAGCGGCAGAGAGTAGCAGACTGGGAGAATCGCTGGAGCTGAGATGATCATTGCTGACGTCTCGGAACGGCAGCGATTTACGGTTCCAACGAGCTCGCACATTCAACGTGCCAGATCCTTAGTGATATCAAGGCGATTGATCTTCCAGGATTAGTGTTTCGATACTGTTGAATACATCAAGAGAAAGGTAGGTCGTAGTGTCGCAATGTCGATGCGACACAAGCACCGTCTTGCCAGAACTCCGACCAGCAGCCGCCTCGATGGAGGGACCAATAGGCGCTAAAGTGTCTTGCGGTTTCGGGCAGACCCCTAGGCCATGGCTCTCTTACTTTATCTCCCTCTGAATGCCTCTCTGAGCAGTGTTCTATAGCAATGTCAAATCGAAACATAATTCCAAGCCGTGTCCAAATAAAATGATTGTATGATCTGAGCATGTTTCGACTTGCAAGTGCTTACCTATGTCGTCGTAGTTCTGAAGTTCTTACAAGCTGAGAGGTGACGTGAAGGAGGTGTGACGCTGGGACTGAGAGGTATTCAAGCTGCAGGGTTATACTTCCCCCACTAGTGCTGTACTGTACAGTACTGCGCTGTTCCTGCAGGCCCGGGGGCTACCTGTCAGCGTGCGCGTTGCGCGGGCAGTGACGGCATTTGGAAAACCCCACCATAGAAGGGCATTTGCCAAAAGGCGGGGCAGAATATGACTCTCAACGCCATCGCACTTTGCTTTGCCCAAGTACACTGGCAACTTTTACAATTGCATTTTTGCTGACCTCCCTTTGGCTCCGCCCCTTCCGATTTTGCCATTGTGCCATTGAGCCATTGAGAGGCTGCAGTCCATTCATATTGCCCTCCTGTCCGGCCTGACCTTCCTCCTTGAGCCTTGTCCATCCCATCCTTTCGGCTGCGCACCAAACGAGCAGCTATCGCAGTGTAGAAGGACACGGTGCTGAAGACGAGAGTTGAGGTCCCCAATCAGTCTGGCCAATACTGAAGATAGTCAAAGAACTTTGTTCTCGGCGGCATCACCATGGATAAGATCACAGACAAGATCGCGGCGCTGCCGCCGGACTCGAATTACTTCTCCCTCGAGTTCTTCCCGCCCAAGACATCTATGGGGTTTTCAAACCTACGAGACCGACTTGATCGTATGGCACGCGCCCTACGCCCGCTGTTCGTCAACGTGACATGGGGTGCTGGAGGCTCAACCGCGCAGAAGTCTTTGGAATTGGCCGAGATATGTCAGAGGGAGTTGGGTCTGACGACATGCATGCACTTGACTTGCACGAACATGAGCCGCCGTCTAATCGACAAGGCATTGGATGACGCAAAGGCTTTGGGGATCAGGAACATTCTGGCATTGAGAGGAGATCCTCCCAGGAGAGCCGAGTATCGTGACGCCAATGACGAGCCGGAGCCGGCAGACGAGGACGAGTTTGTGTGGGCCATTGACTTGGTGCGCTACATCAGGAAACAACATGGCGATTATTTCTGCATTGGCGTTGCTGCGTACCCGGAGGGCCACGCCGACGAAAGTCATCCCCTAGGCCAGAGTCTGGAGCATGATCTCCCCTACTTGGTGGACAAGACACAAGCGGGCGCCGACTTCATCATGACACAGCTCTTCTTTGACATCAAGGCATACGAGCACTTTGAGACGCGGCTGAGGGAGCACCCGAGTGGTGCATTCAAGGATATCACAATTATTCCAGGCTTGATGCCGATCCAAAATTACCAGATGATCAAGAGGACAACGAAGCTGAGCCATGCTAATATCCCTGACAGCCTGATGGCTCGGCTCGACGATGTCAAGAAAGACGATGAGAAGGTAAAGTCTGTTGGAGTGGATATTCTGAGCGAGTTGGTGGAGCAGGTGAAAGAGCTCAAGAAGGGGACACCTGGACCAAACGGCTTTCATTTCTACACGCTGAATCTGGAGAAGGCTGTGTCTTTCATCTTGGAGCGAACGCATTTAATTCCTCCAGATACCCCTATCGAGGAGGAAGCCGTGGCAGATGAGCTTCTACCACCCATCCCATCAATTCAAGTCAATGGCACCAGTCCGATAAATTCCATTAAGAACATATCACGACGGCAATCTTCGATAGGTTCAGATCCCCGAAACAGAGTGATTATTGCTGGAGGCGCTCCATCGCATCCCGAGTACGAAGCTACAGCCTTGGAGGCGAGCTTACCTGCTGAACCGGTCAACACCCGCGCCAACACGCTTGCGATCTCAGAAGGAGAGGGAGTACTAGGAAGGGAGGCAACCTGGGATGACTTCCCCAATGGTAGATGGGGAGACGCTCGATCGCCAGCGTACGGCGAAATCGATGGCTATGGAGTCAGTCTACATATGTCAATAACGCAAGCTATGCGACTCTGGGGCAGCCCGAAGTCGGCCGAAGATATTAACACCATCTTCATCCGACACCTTCGCGGAGAGCTGTCCGCTATCCCTTGGAGCGAAGAAGAGTTCAACCCCGAGACAGCAACGATTCGGGACCAGCTTCTGGGCCTCAACTCGAAGGGCTGGTGGACTGTAGCCTCCCAGCCCTCAGTCAATGGCTTGAGGTCGACGGACTCGACTTACGGATGGGGCCCGCCGAACGGATTCGTCTTCCAGAAGGCGTTCGTAGAATTCTTTGTGCCGTCGTCCGAGTGGAAAGTCCTCCTTGAGAAGCTTTCAAGGCCGGAGATGAAAGACAGGATCTGCTTCTACGCTTCCAATGCAGCTGGTGACTTCCTTTCCTCGGACTCAAGCGGCGGCCTGGACAAGGAGGTCAAAGAGGCCAGCACAAATGCTGTGACTTGGGGCGTCTTCCCCGGCAAGGAGATCATCACACCTACGATCATCGAGGAAGTGAGCTTCAGGGCATGGGCCGAAGAGGCATTTGGAATTTGGGGCGAGTGGGCCAAGGTCTATGGGAAGGGTTCAGAGAGCGAGAAGATGCTCCACAAGCTGCAAGAAGACCTGTGGCTGGTGAACATCATCCATCATGATTACGTTGAGCAGGATGCATTGTGGGATACGCTGCTTAAGTAGTCGTGGTGGTATTGGATATCTTGTGAGTACAGTGCGGTCGTATCAAGATTGCATATCTGGAGTATGGCCTGTTGTATATAGCCCAGCAGTAGGTTGGGAATAATAAAACAAATTCCAAGTAATGTTGGCCATGAATGTGCAAATCATAACGAGGGACTTTGGTGAAAGGTTGACTTGGCTTGGAATCTCATACGCGTCAAAACCTGAAGTGAGATTCACATATATCGTTAAAGAAGATATTATGTCATGTCATCGCGATGTGAATAAACTATCTAGTCCATGACGGACGTCTATAGCAAGTTTGGGGGTATAGAGGGGGCCTATGTCCGAGTGACAAGCCTCGCCCACACCAAAGCGACGTGGACTGGGCTATTTCCAGCAGAACGAAGAGCTAAATAAGAATTTTGCGGTCTCAACCAGAAACTGCAATCGAAAGCTCTCGGGGTGGTGTAACTGCTCCCGAAGAAAATTCAGCCGTGACCAGGCTGCCAAATCCGCGAAACAAAGTCCATCGAAATCCACTAACCCGGTAAGCCAGCAGGTGACGTGCTTCCAAAGAGGGCATCCGACAGGGCAGCTTCATAGCTGAGATCGCCCTCGAGAAGGCGCGTCATTAGCTCGCAATAGTGACGAAGGAAAAGATCAAAGTGGTATGTGCTGAGATGTCGAAGAGAGGTGAAAGTCGTGAAGTCATTATGTAACTGCCAGATAGCTAGTCTGAATTTCAGAGTAGGATGAGTGCTGCTAGTAAGGAAAGATAGAAGAGTGGCTCAATACACGTTGTACAAACCCAGGCTAGGGTACTGCTGGGGCAGCTGTTGCAGTCTTCAGATCTCGCCGTCTGCGTTGTCGAGGTAATACTGCTGGTCCACAAAGTTCTTGTGATCATCGGCCATGGTGTTCCAGCGATCATCTGACATGCTATTGGCTTGGTCGAATGAAGAAGCGTACGCAGTCTGCGAGGGCTGTGTAGAGTTAAACGAATGGGCCGGGGCAAATGTCTGAGTGGGAGTCGGGACGAAGTCATCCTCGGACGGAGTAGGCTCATGCGCGGTGTCAAGGGCCGGAAGAGCGCCAGACATTATCGGCTGATGCGTGTGGCCAGTGACTCGGCGGTAGACATCCTGGTCGATATAAGTTTGGCGCTTGGGCTCCTTAGTTGGCGTAGAGTCGAGGGCTTCATAGTCCACTTCCGCATCGCCCTCCTCGTCGGATTCTTTGGGCGCCACCTTCCGGGTCTTCTTGCTGCTCGCGGTTCTGGGGGTCGTGGTGGCCACACGCTTGCGAGCGGACTTGGGAGTGGCGACGGGAATAGCACCGCTCTGGCTCCTACCCAAAGCGGACGCAGGGCTCTGGCCCGCATCAACGGCCTTCTTCAGCTTGTCGGCGTCAGCCTTGATCGAGCGAAATTGCCAGCCGATACCGTCTGGAGTGGACTCGCCGAAGTATCGAGCGATTTCTGTAGGGAGAAGGAACAATGGTCAGCTTACCGAATGAACGTCATGGTCTTTGGTGTCTTTGCCCTGGGCGACTAGGTCACGAAGCGCAAGGGCGCCCTTCTTCAAGGGACGGAAGTGATGCTCAATGCCGGACTCAGTCCACTCCGAGCCGTAGTGCTTCGCGATAGCTGATAGTGACTTTATCAGCCCTGCCTTCTCATTTCGAACCAACGCTTCGAACGGCGTAGTCGATAAGAATAGCAAGATGAGGAGAGTTTTGACACTGAGAAATAACTAGGGCGTACCTTTGTAGTTGAGCTTCAGCTCGGGATGGGCCGCGATGATCGAGGCGATCAGGCGGGATTGCGCCTCATATGTCTTGAAGTTGGCCGGCATCTTGACTTGAGCAGTTAGCTTGCTTCTTTGTGATCAAGTGTGTTGACGGAGGTGACAAGTGAAGGTGGAAAACATGTGCTTCGGAGGTAGGTGGATCTCAGAACCTTGCCTCTTTAGTCAAGAAGAAACTTTGTTGCGATGGGAAGGATGTTCAGACAGGACAGGCACTAACTTCGGTAACTTTGGGGTGCGTTAGAGACAAGTCGTTCTGTATGTCTATCCTGATATGGGTGGGTAGGGAAAGGTGTACGAGACGGAGAGTTGGGGATGGGAAAGACTGTAATGATGGGGAAGATAGACAGGAAGTAAGGAAAGACCGAAACTTCTTCCTCGAGAAGACGGTGAGATAGAAAGTTTGTAGGGAAAATAGAAAAGGAAGGAAGGCCAAGATGATTCAAGGCCGACTTCTTCGCCGACACTTTCCAACTCAAGCTTCCACAACCTTCTTCAGGCAGCAGAGATGCTTGTCAAACTGAGTGAACCATGACGGGGAAGAAAATAGATGGGTCGTGGAAACAACTCGACTGGAGATGGCAGAAGAGAGAGAAGAAGTGCAGGATCAGAAAGGATGAATGCTCTTGGTGTTCGTTATATGCTTGAATTTATTAATTGCAGATAGGTAACGGCTAGCCCAGAGCTTTCCCTGAAAACCCCAAAGTTCCAGGTAAAGAAGACCGTAGGGGTATTGTCGTTGAAAGAGGTAGAAGAATACTCACTGTGATATTCAAGTGATCTTTCCGAAGTAGGTAGTGACCAGATACGTGTCGTCGGTTTCAGGAAAGAGTCCACCTCAAGGAAGATAACGTGTAGAAGACTCCAGTTCAGCTGCAGTTGTGTCGAGTTTATCGTGAGATCGGCCGAGGAAAGAAGGGAAGTGCGAAGTTGGTGAGGTTTGAGGAAAATAGGATGGCTGGTAAGGTCGTGGGTAATGCACTTAGAAAAACGAGACCGAATAAGGCTCTCAGGATATGGGAAACTCAACCAAGATTCACGATGATCTTTGGTTGAGATCAGAGGAAGGTAGTTTCGATAGAATATACTTTGTAGGACAAGCAATTTCTTCCTAGGCAAGTTGGTTGAATAGGCCGGAGCAGAGTTGGAGGAAGATTTGAAGTCGAGTTCGTATAAGCCCCCAATACCAGGTGCAGCTTGGTGCGTATCAGATACGGCGCTACTTCCACCACCACCTCAAATTCAAGCAGAAGACATGTTCCAATAATGCAAAATGAAATAGAAAAAATCACAGACAATTCGAGTATACCAATTAGAATGCAGTCAGATTTTTTTTGCACCCAATCAATTATATTATGTTGTGCTGTAGCAACACATGTGCGGTGGCTGGGTGTGCCTTCTTACCACAAATTAACGAGCCACGCACGACCCCGGAGGATGGGCTGCTCACCTCTGACCCAGCTTGCCCAGACAAGTAGGCCCAGGTGGCTGGGGTATACTCAGAACCTTCAATATTTCCTGGCATCTATTTCCATTGAAATCCAGGTGAACTAAGATAGGCAAGATTCTGAAGATTGGTGTTGATCGAATTCTCTCGACAATGCATTTTCTCTGCCGACGAACAAACTGAACATACGCCTTTGTGATATGTTTGGTCAAACGTAGCCGGTTGTTCGAGCGCTTGACAGTAGCCTTTATCGATACTCCTTTTCGACGGGAGTTCGTCGCCCTGTCGGAGTGCCTAATCCGTTCGAGATGCGGGCGCCCATGGGTTTTAGGTCATCTGCCCAGACCTGATGTTCCTTCAGTATAGCCACTTCGCCGCTGCCGTACATCAAATATTGTATGCCCAAGAACGCGTCACAGCAAGCTTGAAAGATACCACAAAGCTTGAATGCCCATGGAATCTCTGTCGTCGATGTAAAGAACCAGAACATTTTCATGGCGTCGCCCCCTAACCAACTGGCCAGCACCGAGAATCTAAAGCCCTTGCACGATCGCGATCGGTGATTGGCGAAAATTTGGGGGAGCGGAAGAGTTGCTTCGACGGAGAGACCGATATAGCCAACCATTAGAGAATACCCGGAGTAGACGCCGTGGAAAGGTGAGAGCAAGAGTTCCAATGTTGTCAACGCGATAAACATATAGAGCAAGAATTGCCAGTAGCTAGAGAGGAGTGTTAGCATCAGGGGTATAGATGGAGGAGGCGCAGGGCACGAACGGTTTAGGGGACCGCCATTGCCAGAAGTTGAACGGTCGTTGCATCTCCCACAACCCGTCTTGCGACCCAACGAAAGGAGTCGCCGCGTCGCCGCCCTTTGATGATGGTGGGGGTCGATGATCCAGGGCAATCTTCAAGAGGAGTAACTGGATGGCTACCATGATAAATGACTGAATTAACAACGCGGTATCGAATCGTGCGCCCGGGTAGTAAAATATTCTGGTAGCATTGTCCATTAGCACACGGAAATCTCGCTACGATATCCTAGACAGAGAAGCGCCATTGACGAACCTGAACATCGACGCAACAAGCATGATCAATGGGATGTCCAGTGAGAATCCGGCGCTCGATTTGCGCTTGTGCATCGAAAGCGCCTGGTCGCTGTAAGACAATACCGGCGATAGAATCAAGAAGATCGGGGCTAGATAGCCCGCAAAAGCCTTCAACCACCGCATCTTGCAAGGTAACGCGACTGCAGCGCTTATAAGAATGAATAGAGCCGATGGAGCGATGGGAGCTCAATCTCAAAGCGAAGTGAAGTGTCTCGAAGGGAGATATCGGCAGGTTCGGAAAAGGAGTGGACGGTGCGTCTCTGCGACAGGACCATTCGGCAACGATAGCTATTGTTCTTAGATCGAGCACACCATGGCAGTAAGCAAAATGAATCTGAAGAAGAAGAAGTCGGCCCCGTCGGTCGTCGCGTCGAGTGATAAGCGGCAGCTGCCAGGACCAGGATTTCGATGCAAAACCCAGATCGAAAAGGGGCCGCAAATGACGACTACCAAAAATTGTCCATGCCTTATCTCACACTATCTTAGCCTGTTCTTGTCCCCGTCTTCCGGGGCTTGGTATGTGCCGCATAAACAGGTACGTGTACAGAATTCGCGCTAATCACGGAACCAATCGAGCCACTTCAGCCCCATCGAGCAGCCACCATTTTCACTTACATCTCACAAAGAACGCCGTCCATTATCTTGCAAAATCGGTCATAGTTGTCCGCCTCGATAGCTAGTAGACCAAATTTGGCTCCTGGTAATTGTGTCCGTCGAGTCCTTTCCAGTGAAGGTATAAAGCAGCAACTTGGTATCGTCAATAAGCTTGCTTCACATAAGTACTACTGCAGTCCAGTAGTCGTGGAAGGGATCAGATATACTACTGAGAGGCACCAACTTCTGACAAATGCAATTTTTTCTAACGTGACCCACGTCTAATCTATTGTCTGATAGATATTTGTAATATTTTGGATCGTATGGTTGCATACTTGTTTAGGACTCGCCTGTCGGTCACTGCTATCATTGACTGAGAAAACGGTCGAGTCTGGCTGTAGAGAACGCGAAGCAAACAGATATATGGAAACATTCGAAGACAGCAGATATCAAACATGTTCCAATAGTCTCGTATAGAAATCCCGCTTTTTTGAAGCATGTGATTCGGTTTTTGAAATCGTCTTCTTTGACGACTTGAACACTTTTGAAGCCAAAGGGACAATGCGATTGACAGCTAGGTAAGGGCACTAATGGAGTCGTGCCCATAGTCTGCTCTTGAAAGGTCTACTCTAAATTAATCAGTATGTTAATCGTCGTTTGTATCTCGAGGAAGAAAGGTTACGCTTGTGACGCAGTCGAAGTTTTCTTTTTGCGCGTTAGCAATCTGTTCAGTTGCGATGTCTTTCTTGGCTTCACAGCTTTCAAAAATTCCGTGATCACAGTTTCTTATCTTCAACTGTCCACAAGAATGTTTCGACTGCCTTGACGATTTCCGAATCTCTCGAGACTGACTTGTCTAAGATACATGATCAGGCAGAACCATTGAGTTATGAGCGACTGATGGGTTCCTTTTATTCATCTCAACATCATGGTTCAGGACTCGAGGTCTCCCTTTGTTATGAATTTCTACCGCACTGACGACTGACGGCCTAGGAATATGATAATCATTTGTTCTAGAAACGTGTCAATCAGCCATAACACCTCGATGTGACAGCAATTCTCAGAACGGAAATAGCCTGACATTTAGGTTCCAAGCCCCATCTCACTACTTCTAAGGAATCCCATAAAATGTCGAAGGTCTGGTATCATATCCCAACCACCGTTTACCATGAGCTGTGGCGAGTTCTCTTGAACTCCTTCCAGTTCCGTTCGGTGTCTAGTAACGTCAACCATTGTAGTCAGGCTTTCAATGAGATCATCGATATCAGAATCACACACATCGAAGTATCCAAACGTCCGTTCTGGCCGGTGCACTGATTGTCGACGCCATTCAATTCTAGCATCCATATCTGCTCCAAATCAAGATGGATGTTCACTTTTTGCGGCGTCGCTGACTATATCATCTTTAGAGTTAAGACGTCATTCTTGGGGTCTTAAAGTTAATAGGCTCACTCTTTATATTCGATTGGCCATTACTGATTCACGTGAAGCCATCTAGAAATATTGAGGAACACTATTCTTTGGATTTAATTTTGGGACATTTGTTTTCCAAGACTCTCACAACCTCTACGTAGCATCGTCTTGGATTGACGCACCCTCATAATGTCAACTTATGCATCGCTCGACTCTATCAAGCCATGAAGCAATGGAATAGCAGGTGAAGCAACTTTTTCATGTTGTTCTTGACGGCCTCTACCGCAGTTGTATGTGTTATAATCAAGTTAGTTCTACTCGTAAGGAGATCTCATGTATGGCAAGCCCAGTTCTTACAATGTCGTAGAGCCTGCTTCTGCTGGTTCTGATACATGGAAGATTCACCTTAACCTGTCTCCTCTGATCTTTCTATTGCTTCCGCAGCGTTGGAAATTGACTTCTTGACTCAAAAGCAACTTCACTGGTAA